ATGCAGCGTGCAATTACTTCTGCGCTCCTTATGGGCAAAGGGGTTAAGTGTCTTGCCCAAGGACACAATAACAAGAGACATGAGTGGGAGTTGGTGGAGAAGGCAACTGAAGTCTTCTACGTTGATGAAAATTTGACATTTCGGGAGGAGTTCAAGAATCCGGACTGTTGTGGTGAAGAGGGAGCTCTCAATTGCTAGGATAAGAATCTCAGTCACACTGAAGGAGCTCGTATTATAGCCGTTGCTTTTCTGAGTTGAGAGGAGCCAGTTGAGGAGCTTCGGGCATTTGCCGAGACATCCCCGTGACCAATGGGAAGACCCAGGACACGTTAGATGGACGATGTCTCTCAGATGACCTGGGAATACTTTGAGATTCCCCCAGATGAGCTGCGGGAAGTGTGTGGAGAGGGAAGTCTGGGTGTTTCTGCTGCCTCTGTGACCCGGCAACGAGTAGAGGAAGGATTTAAAATGATCATCTCTAGTTTTTATCAGGTCTTCAAACATATTTCTTACCTAAAAAGGTTGAAATATGTAGACCAAAAGCTTTGACATCTATACCGATATAATAATACTGATACTCACGCTGTTTGTGTTATAAAAAGTCTGTCAACCTGTGATCAGCCTGTATAACAAGTGAAACATTTTAAAAGGCTGTGCAATGGAAGTACTGCTCGAATCAATTGCAAATAAAACAAATATATTAATTCTTAAACTCTCTGCTATCTAATGACATTCATACAATAATAATTTGGGATGATATTAACTTTGAGTAATCATTATTAAGAGGTCTAACATGATTCCATACAACAATGCCATGAGGAAAATTAAATATAGCTTTGTGTAGAAGGTTTAGTAGACCCACACACACGCGCACACACACACACACAGACACACTAGTGGTGGGGTAGAGCCCAAAATCAGCGTGACAGGCGTAAAATGCACATAGAGGTTTTGGGCTTGCGGTCAGAAACATAAGAGAGGAGATTTTCTTTCATGTGTCTCTGCTCATCTCCATAGCCTCAGCCCAGAACAATGTCCTCCTCCAAAAACCACTCCCTGCAATTGCCTGCTAGGTCTCTGCTGCCCCCGTGTGGTGAGAGGAGGCACTGTGGCTTTGGGCAAATATGAGGAAGAAAAAAATATTTTCATTTTTATTTGGGTATACATACTTCACTGGGGTATCTTAACTTTCAAACCATAAAACAATAAATAATATAATACAATGAGAGCCAAATAAAATCCATTGGTATTAGTTCCTTGTTTTGTTTTGACACTAGTTTTCCTATTTTGGGCTGTTAAGGCCCACGGCTGTTAAGTGTGCCGGTACTTTAGTTCAGTGACTTGTGAAGTTTATGTTAAGACACTTTAGTTTAGGTTACACTTTTGGTTTTGTAAATTGCTTACTTGTTTAATAGGTTATTTCTTTTCCCTGTGTGTTCTGTAGATATTAAATCCTATTTTGTCATTATAATAAATTATGATTTTAGTTACCATTTAACATCTTGGTTATTTTGTTACTTCCTCATACCTAGCTGAGCCGGGTCGGAACATGGGCCTCGGTCACATTTTTAGATCAGCTTTTTCAGACATAAAAGTGAAAAAGAGAGGACCACCTTCACTCAGCCAATCAGCCCTGGGCCCGAACCATCAAATAGTGACTCACAGGGCTCTTAGTTCAAGTACTCAAAAGATAACACATTTTCTAATATGATTAAGACGCAGTTTGCACAATGTTACTTTTACAAAACTCTTTCAGTTCGGGCAAACAAAATGTAATACTTGGCTGAGAACCAAAACACAGTCACAGTCACATCTTGATATGTATTATTATTATTGTCTACAGTAACATGTATGATGTAATATATTATGTAGCATGTATGTTGTTATGTGTCACAAGTTACAATACCATGTGTAAGAAAAAGCAAGTGCCAGAATATGAACTAAAGAGTACAAAGTGAAAATGGGTGAATGGGTAGAATTGATTTAGGATTGTTTACAGGTCCACATTGTCACATTATTGTTTTACATGTATTGTTTTGGTGCCCTAACTTTAAGCTAATGCATCTTCCTGAGAGATCCCTTTTTCCAAAGCATGTTCAAACCTTAGAAATGATTATGTGTATGACCTGTCAAATAAGGAAAGGAAAAGAAAAAAGATTTAAGATACAGATTTACAGATTTATCTACATATGTATACAGACCCATTTATATGTGTGTATTTGCACTAGGGGTACTACAGGGGTATACATAGTTCCCACAGACCAATGAATGTCACATGACCTCCTCGGAGACGCCATCTTTGATGGCACGCTGCTGTGTTTGTGCATTCCATTAAACAGAAGAATGAGAATAAATGTAGATATTCAAACGCAAATTGGAAAAAAAGGGCAACTTTTGAGCAAATAATTGTATATTAATACAATGGCACCACAGTTTAACGTGCTACGGACATGTTTTACATATTTGATCAAATTATGCAGCAAAAATTAACAAGCAATGCAAACATTTCTCAAAAACTTTAGATTTAATACCAGTTGGAGCTCCATTTAATTATTTTAATTATATTAACAATTAATTTAATTAATGCTAATGCCACACGGACACTCTGGATTGCTGTTATTGTTTATTTCCGCGTTTTTGACCGTATGTTTTGGTGAATGGTGGGCAACTGATTTTTCCAGGCGTAAAGAGCAGTTTATTTTATGACACAGATCTTTTTACAGAAGCAATGCTGTTTGTGAACATTGTTTTAGCCCACCATAGAACTATTATTATCTATTTAATACATTTACGTTGCCCTCGAGAGCCTCGGACGCGACACCGATCCTCCTCATAATAAAGTAATCTAACGCTAAATAATGAAACTCTCAAGTTACCAGATATCAGCATACACAAGTTAGTACCGAGTAAATTACGTCTGTCAACACATTATAAGATGCGATACGCACCTGACACAAAGTGCTCCGAGCATATTCTTGCGTGTTTTGAGGGAGTTTCTTGCCTGTTTATCTTCGCAAGCCATAACCTCCGTGGTTGTTCTGACAAAAGCTTAGTCTTCTCACATTCATGAAGTCTAATGATGGGTATACTGTAAAATCCAAGTTTAACGGAACCTCCGGCACGATTTGAACATCCATTGACCCAGCAGGAGATGACCATTTTCAACTTTATCACGACATTAACACGTTTCAGCTTCTTTTTCTATTGTTTTGCCCACAGAATGCCAACACAAATGGCGCCGGGTCGGCAAATCCCCGTATGTAGTGACGTCATGTGGGAACTATGTATATTGTATATGTTTACACTTTTCAATTAATACCAAGCTGAATTTGGAGATGCTTTTTTTCAGTATAGAGTTGTGCAAATCTTAATATTGACTTATTTACACTTGCTTACACTTTTATTGGACCGTATTTTAATATGTAAGTTAGTAACCTGCACTTTTTATTTGAAATGTATGTTATTATTCCTCTTATGTTGTAGTGTCAATGACTACAGAGGGAATCTAAATCTAGTGCAGCCATCTTTTTAATGTAACTGCACATTTTCCTTAATAAATTAATCTTAAACTTCTCTTGTGTTGTGTGCTCCTCGTTCCTACTGTAATGTTTGCGATGATCTACCTCATTGTCGGACAAATGACGGATCTCTTAATCTTATAATGTAACTATTTGACGAGTGTTCTTGTATGTCTTGCTTGCTCCTGCTCTCCTGATGTACAGTACGTGACCATGGAGAGCACGTGACCTGTCCAAGACGTCAAATCAATGCGCGCCAAAAGGTGAAACAATATTTTCAGTCTTTATGGGTTAAACGTCAGTCTATGGTTAAACGGAGGACTTAGGCTCCGGATATTCACATTTAACACATTCAACACTGGTTCTTTAGCGTAAATGTTTGAACGTGAGAAGCAGTTTAATAGGCAGTCTTACCTGACGACGTGGAGAATTTCTTCAAGAATGCGAGATATTTTGGAACAATTCAACTTTAAAAGGCCGGTCAGACTGAAAACTGCATCCTGAAGCACGTGAGTGAAACGTATAAGTTATTATTTTGAGATCCATGTTTTTTTCGATATTATAATACAGCCGTGGTTTTCTTTTAATGGTTTTTTCCTGGTCAGCCTCAATCAACGCACACAACGCACGTGTTTTGTTTCTACGCATGCGCACTCTCGTGATAGCTGTTCGATCCTAGTTACATATATTAATGTCTGTGAAATGACATTATAGAAATGTACCATGAGACTAAGAACTGTTTTAAGTTTGTTATTACAATAAAGGAGACTAATTACAGATTTACCACAAACTGTATTTGACACGTGTGGAAAGAAAAACATTCAATGTGATAAATATGTATTTTATTGATGTAACATTTGTATAAAGAGTCTAGACTTTGCTACATTGTGATGCTGTAAATATACACAGACTGGCTTCTGAGCAGCCTTCAGCTTAGTTGAGTCATGGAGGCTGTGACACCCATAATGAGTAAAGAGCTCTCTGAAGTAAACACGTACCGACGTTTATAGATTCATTCTACACCTAAAGCAAAGGGCAGGAACCTACGGCTCAGGAGCCAGATGGGATGATTGCATCTGGCTCTCAGATAAATCTTAGAAGGCATTAGTAGTAAGAATGATCTGTGTGTTGGATTTTTTCGGTATGAAAATGGTATTAAATATAAAAATACATCCTGAGACTAATATTACATGCTGAATGTGTTGATCTTGTTATTTTTTCTTTTTCATACGAGTACTCATGATTTTGTAAAACATATGAGTATGGGTCCCACAGAAAAACCTTTTGAAGTTTAACTTGAAAGATGTATGCCTCTCTCAGCTAAAAAGGTTCACAACCTCTGCCCTTAAGTGATGTAAAACATCATGAAAGTCATATACACTGTAAAATAAGTATCATAGATACATACTGCTGTTCACAAACATGTTGTGAATCCTATTCTGAAACATAACATCCCAAACATTTGCCCTTGTTGCTGTGTGTTCACCACAGATCGGGCTCCACCCACACAATCTTCTTCTGCTCTTCCCAGATGACACTGCGCAGGCGTGTGAGCAGAGAGCTGCAGTCGCACCAGGAGTCTGGAGCCATGCTGTGGTACAGACAGGGCAGTTTGTCCAGAAGCGGCTCCTCACTGTGTGAACAGGCCAAGAGCTGCTCCTCTGTGTGTCCGTGTCTCTGCAGTTTAGACCTGCAACAGTCCACAGGCAGAAAGTGAGGCCTGGTCACTGAGAACCTGTTCATTGCAATGAGAACAGATGCAATACAGGATGTGAAGAGCACAAATACCTTTTTAACATTTCTCGGCTCTATAAGGATATATTCCAAAGGGCACGGCATATTACTCATATTCGGCATATAATCATTGATTCAAGAGAAGACCTATTATAAGCCTCCTGTTCTTCCTTCAAACTTAATGTTTAACTGCTTCTGTAGAAGTTTCACCTGAGCTTGTGGGTGCTGCGGGGGCTCTGTCCAATGAAAATGATGATGGGATAGATGTCGGCTCGGTGCAGTCTCCGCACACAGTCCAGACCCAGCGGCAGCACGCAGTGAAGCCCCTGTGAGGAAAACAAACACACAAATAAAGTGGAGGATAGTTGTATATAAAAAGTAATTATGTGTGTATGTTTTCTCATCCAACCTCTCATATGTGAACCTAACGCCGTGTGTGGTATAAACACTTGTCACTTGCATTAGGACTGAAAAACCTGCACTACTATTGACACTGTTTCTTTATTGCCACTTTTTATTGTACATAATAAATCCTGCATTTAACATGTTTGCAGTGCACATTTCTTTCTTTTTGTACAATCTTGAGTGATTCTACCGATGCCAGATTTGACATGTACATTTCTCCTGTGTGAGATCAACAAAGTCTTATCTTATCTTGAGAATACTTTCTGCTGTATCTGCTCTAATTGTTTTTAGTATCATTTTTTATTATTAGTGTTTTTATGGCATAATGCAACACTGAAGTTATAGAAAAAATACTCACGTAATAATCATAATACTAACGCATTTTATAACGCTTTTTGGACATTCAAAGGCGCTTCATATGTCATTATTCATTCACTCCATACACAGTGGTGATAAAGTACAATTGTAGCCATATCTGCCCTGGGGCACACTGACAGAAGCGAGGCAACCAGTATCAGCCATCAGCCTCTGCAACCACCACAACTATTCACTCATTTGAGGCAATGTCGGCAAAGTGTCTTGCCTGAAGACAGAACAATATTCTGGCACTTTACAGCCGCAACCGCTTCACTGTGGCACCTTGTATTCCCAGAGGTCTCACATCACAGTACTAACCTGACCCTGCCCTGCTTAGCTTCAGAGGCCTGATGGGATGTGACTTTCCCATGCAGGTAGCGCCTCAAAGTACAGCAATAGATAACTCATTTCCAGCTCTTCCGTAACAGTGGTGTTGCCAAATACCTTTTTCATAATTTTCTCGACACTCAGAGTGGTGTAGTGGGTGTTTTCCGACTGGTCACACTCCTCCAGAATCTCAGACTTCTGCAGTCGGGCCGCATGCTCCGTCGGACTCAGCTTCTCTGAAAAAAAAAAAAAAGCAGTGGAAACCATGAGAAGACAGGGCCATAATGTGTGACGTCATACAAATGATAAACACACAACAAAAACAAACACACATGGCAGATTGTTTCATTACAAAGACACGCTTCTGAATGACTCCAATAAAAACACACTTGATTATCTGATCTTATTGTTATGCTTTTCCATGTGTATCTGTTGGTATTAGTCTATAACTGGAATGAGACTAAAAATAGCACATGTAGAGTATAGTGATAAGATGTGTTGTGTTAAGAGACTACTTCCTTTTTTATGGCTTCTCTATTTCCATGTGAAGCCATAAACGGTTTAGCGGTGTCCAATGTGTTTACACAGGTGGCAAGATGTCTTTTTATAATAGAATAGAGAATAACCGGAACAACAACAGTAAAGCACGTATAAAGAATGTTTGAAAAAGGGGAAAAAATGAGAAGTTAAAAAAAAAACAGGACAGGAACAGAAACTAGGCCAAAGCAAGTAGTAAAACTGACTACTTTCCAAAACAAAGTGGTAACAAGTACTTCATGGTATTCACTTCACATGTGACAGTGACAGAGAAAAAGTATTATATTTTACCACGAAACAACTAAAAACGTAAATGAAGGCTTTGGGTTGAGACCTGATTGAAAATGGCACTTTTCTGCATACAAAGTGGTTCTAAAGTTGTAAGAATAATACATGTTAATACTGGCATTGTAAACAAAAAATAGTGAGACGGTTTTATATTTAGCAGTGGGAAAATCAGCTGCTTCAGATCTATAGATTTGCCTGATTCAGCCTCTTAAAAAAGGCAGAATAATTTTGTTTGATTTTGCGACAAAAACGACCATGATCCAGTATCGATTTCTATGGACATTGCTTCAATCATTGACCTCTACTTCAATTGTATTTTTGTATTGCCCTAAATCAAAACAGCAGTCATCAATTCTCTAAGAACAGACCAGAGAATCAAGCTGTTTGAACGTAGAAAATGCAAGAATAACAAACACATGCAGCCATTGGTCCACAGGGAGCAGGGTGATCAATGTCCATACTGTGAATGTTAATAAATGTCCATGAATGTCCTTGAGCTCTCCTGCATTGGCAAGGAACAACTTATTGGTTTTTTTTTTATTGCGGGGGAAAATGTGAGAAACTTTGGGGAGGCCCATAATGACAGAGGGATCCGCTCCCACAGACAGAGAGGCTATAGATCCAGGACTCAGGCTGTAGAACAAGGACTGAGGTGCTTGTGTCTTCCGTCTTTCAGGAGAAGCCTCACTGACCTCCCCTCCTCTTTGCTCATATCTTACCTGGCTCGAGCAGCTGAAATCCCTCCCATCCCACCACCTTCTTCTCCAGGACTCGTCCCAAGAGGGAGGGCAGGAGCAGGATGGGTCTGCACACGGGTGGGATGTGTGGAGTGACCAGGGTGTAAGGCATGAGGGAGACACAGCTTTTGGACGTGGTGTTGCCTGTGGGAGAGGACACATGAATGAGCATCTGCAGAACGTATGTGTGAGTGTTGAATGTGAGAGCATACACACCAGACTCTGAGCCCCCTTCGTTCTCAAAGCTGACCCACAGAGGGTTTCTTCCCTGGCGACCCGTGGTCACAATTCTGACGCTTTGTTCTCGAGGCGCTGCACGTCCGGACTGCAACACGAAACATGGATTATTGGATGGCTCATTTATTTTCTTCATTTCCAAAAACATTTTTCTGAGCAGTCCATACAAGTTTAAATAGGACATTGTTACCTTTTGAGACTTGGTTTGGAAATTCATATTCTCAAGTGCCCGGATCAGAAGTCCTTGTGCTCTGTGTGAAAATACATGAGAATTTAGTTCTGTGGTAAAAACACGTAATTTAACTATAGCTCAGAATAGTTTCTCAGTTTACTTAGAAAAGTGATTTTTTTTCCCAGACGCATTTTTTTTAATATGGTGGGAAAACGTCCCTAAATTCTAAAAGTAGTCAAATTGTCATTGACCAGATGCCTATAGTTTCCAAGAATTAATAAAGCATATTTTGGAGCGGACCGATAAAATTAAACAATGGGATGCGTTTACCCTCCTTCACCCTCTTCCTGTTTCTCGCGAGTTTTTTCTAAATTTTCTAAAACCTAAAATGACTGAACAGCAAATGCCAATTTCACGTTTGTCACCACAGGGAGAGTGGGTGGCAAAGAAAAGAAAATGCTGGATGTTTGGTTTGGCGGAGAGGCGAGGGGAGGGGGGAGTGGTTTCGAGTTAGTGCTACGGCTATGCACTATTAAACACACACCTAACCCCCTAACTTGTTATTTGCAAAGACAACCTAGTTATTAGTCAAATTACTGCAAAATCCTACAGAAAGACAACTAAACATTTGCACTATGACCAAAAAGGTTGAGGTATTTCACTTGACAAGGTGCATAAAGGAAAGTTATAATTCACAGTCCACCTGCAGGAGAAAGCCACAGAAGCAAAGCAAGGATAGGGGAACATTTTTATTTTTATTTTTATGATTATATTAGGACCAGTGGCATGTCAACCTGTTGTTGTGTCCTTAAGCAAGGCACACCCTGTATATTGTGATGGTCAGCAAATGAGACAGACCTGAATGAGTTTAACAATGGCTCAAAAGGAACCAAACTTGTGAGCACAATACAAGACTATAATATTCAATTGTAAATATTTGTGTAATCTGTGTTTTTATCTGTAAATGGGATGTATTTTTATTTCTTAGGGACCAGGTCTGCTAACTAACTGTTGGCTATTTGGCCTGAATGAATATGGCATTGGTTATTTGCAACAATGCTTCTTGTTCTGTCCCTATCCAATAAACCTTTAATAATAATAATAATAATGAGATCTTATACCATGCCTAGTGTGTCTTTGTGAGCTCTGCAGTCGCTTTAAGTGCACCAACCTGAAATAGTTTGGCACTGTCCCGCTCTGGAGGTGCAGCAGCTGGCAGGGGTGCACCTGACTGGCCTCCCAGGAGTCAGAGGCTCCGGTCGGACACGTATTTGTGACGTGAAGGATGTCGTTACAGGACACGGCCAGAGTTCCGCCGCTGCCCGAGCTCAGGGACATGTTCACCCGCACATACAGGGAGTCTCCAGAGGAAATGGTGCTGGTCTGGAGCTGCTGCAGTAAGCCCTGGTAGTCTGCACAAAAAGGAGAGACACAATAGAAGAGGTTTGTCGAGTCTGTCTCCCCAGTTATCGCTCACCATTTAACCAAAAACTGACACGGACTATTTTTTGTGTCTTTATTGTGTGTTTTAACAAGAATAAGGAACATTTTGTTTTTTTAATGTAAATTTTTCCTCATCTGGGCAGTCCCCCCCCCCAAAAAAAAAACATCTACACACACACACACACACACAATAACTCACTTCAGAGCAATGGGCGTATTTAGAAGAATAGGGGTCTTGAAAGCATAGATTTGAAAGTAAAAAGCATTTTTATTTTTTTGTTAATTTTTTTTCTTACCCTAGCAAGTGTTTATTCTCTATAGTCTTTGTTTTTTGTATTTGTACAATATTTTTTCGTGATTCATTTTTCAACTTCCTTGTGTAAAAATTGTTATTCTGAAATATATTGAAATACTGTAAATTGTATTACAAATGTCCGAACTGTTTCTGTTTTTTGCACTACATTTCTGAAACGTCTTGCATCAATCATTCCGCCGTCGCACCATGTTGCATACCTTTCTGTGGTGTGGTTTGAAGCGCAAATACAACAGCATGCCACAGTCAAGCCAACCATTTTGATTTATAAAAACTGAAAAAACACATCACTCAGCCAAGTACATCTTGTTCAAATGTCACATACATGCGCACCTTTCCAACCACACATCAATAATATGTCTGTACCATCTGGCCGTGGCCGCAGAGAGAGGTGGCAGAAGCCTGTGACTTGACCAAGCGCCCAAACCGCCTCCTCCAGAGTCGAATCCTCCAGGACCATTCTCAAGGCTTTCTCTTTCTGCTCATATTTCACCTGTAAAACAATAGAAGTTTGCAATAATAACAAGTTGTTGATAATCATGGTATGGACAACACGTGTACTTCTTGCTAACTTGTGAACATGATTATAGCTTTGTGAGTGCTTCCTTCATTGTAGAATAAATAAAAAATAAAAATAAACCAATGCAGGAGGGTCTAAGGATATTAATGAGCGTGGACTTTCAACCCTCTCACAGCCCAATTAAATTTGAACTATAGGAGAAATCTGATATTTGGGGAAAATTATCATATGGGGTAGTAATATACAATCCTGACTTTTTTGAGAGAGAGACCTGGTAAATAGCTGGCCTGGGGAAAAACCCAGATGAGATATAACCTACGAATTGGCATGTACTGTATCTATAAATATTCATATTTCATTATTTTCAGTTTTGGTTTCAATTTATTAGAGGTTGGTTGTGATACTTACTTGAAATTGATGCCCATATAATCTGTCTGAGTGAAATTAAGGAGACTGATATTTTGCTATTTCATTTTGGAATTCTCTCCGTCCCCCTGGTGAGCACGTGAAAAACGGTGTGTTGCTAAAGCTCAACTAAGTCCCACTTACCTTTTTACCCACTTCTGAGTTAAAAAAGGGTCAAAAATATGGATGTGTTGTAGTTAGTTAACAAGAAATGAAATGTCATCCCGCTCCCTATGGACCAATGGCTCCTATGTGTGTTTTTTTTGCATTTTCTGTGTTTGAACTGTTTGTATAGCCCTAAATCACAGTCTCAGGGGCCTTTACAAAGTTGTCGATTTGCAAACAATAGATCAGAGAATCAAACAGTAAATGAATAGTGAAAGCCGTGAGCCGTATATACCTCCACCACTTGAGATCCGGTGCTGATCCCGACCATGTGAGCCGCGCTGCCCTCCTTCACCTCGTGCACGAACACTCCCGTCTTGTTGCCGCCCACCACAGACAGCTGCTGCAGCATACTCTCTCCCTGGAAGGAGATGGTCAGGACACGGCCGTTGATGCGGAGGGCTTTAGGACGAGAGCGCACGAGGAAAGGAGGAGCAGAGGTCTCGGAAAGTCTACAAAGATCAATCACAAAAGAGAGAAATGTCATGTACATTTTTTCAATTTAGATATAAATTCAGGTATTTTTTCTATTTAATCATTTTTAATAATCAGGACATGAGGTTTCTATGCCTGATTTAAAGCTGGGGTACCTAACTTTAAAGAAAAATACACTATACATGTGGTTTGTCCCAACAGAAAGAGTATTGTTGAGTATTATTGTTTTTACTGCCCCTACGTCAAATTGATGATTGGAAAATATGATGGACCACCATGGTATGCCACATATAATTTTAGTGAAATGCAAAAATAAAATATTGCCCCAAAATTATTTTATTTATTTACTTTTGTTTGTCAAGTTTTGGTTAAATCCAAATATAACTGAACTAATTTTGTTCAGAAGAAATCTAGCAGAAAAGTATATACAAACTCAGGTTAAATAAAAGAAAATGATCTGGTATAAAAAAATAAAATTAAAAAAAATATTGAATATTTGTTCATTTAACGTCATACTCAAAACCATCATTACTTGGAATTCACAGGGATAATAAATAAGGAATACTAAAAGAAAAACCCTGACCATAATGAGCTTGACACAGCTGGTATGTTTTGATTGGCTTCGACACTCCAGACTAGGGGTGTGCTCAAAATATCGATTCTTAGATACATACCGATATAATAAAAAAAGATACAGTATCGATATTCTAGCCCTTAGTATCGATACTCCGCCCAGCCATTAGGGGGCGCAGCAGCGCCCGCGAGTTTCAAAACACGCTAAGAGAAGAAAGAAGAGAAGTGTACTAAGCTCAAACCATGTTGACCAACTTCTGTTTTTGAACAAAAATCTCAAGTCATAGGATAAAACTAGCATTACCAAGAGTATCCTCAGGTTATTGTTTTGTTGCTGCAGTGATTTGTGCCTTTTTGAGGACAAATCTGGTTTAGCCTTTAGATTTTAAAATCCATCCTGCTATGAGGTGGATTTGTTGTTGTGCCAAATGTTAAATCAAGATGTAGGATTAAAGTGATTTCATAGTGAAATATGTTATGGCAGTACATGGTGTCACAAAAAAGAATTGAATCACCAAGATTTTGTGCTTGTGTGAGCTCAGACTGTACCCTTGGAAAGTTAAATGTTGATTTGTGGTAATTTCCAGAATAATACGATTTGTGTACAAATAATCTGAGCATTTAAAATTGCAAATATTTAAGGAAAATGCACTTTGTTATAATGCACTGTTGTCTTCAATAAATTGAAGAAAAATGCAGAGTTCTGTTGAGTAAATGTGTTCAGCATTAACTAATTGGCTCTGGCCCATGTATTTTTATTGAATCGTATCGAATCGTGCCACATTGTATCGAATCGTATCGAGACAGCTCTGTATCGAGGTACATATCGAATCGTGACCTGTGTATCGAGGTATGTATCGTATCGCCAGGTTCTCCAAGGTATACAGCCCTACTCCAGACTGAGATATGTTTACCACAACAGCCACATTATAAAACAACAATGCCACAGGACTTGTATTTGAACAATGCGGAACAGACTGACGTACTTGTCAAAGCTGGTGCCATCCGGATAAGAATCCTTGAGCGTCTGCTTGTCCTCATCCTTAGCTAAACAAGAGACACACTGTTTAATCATTTATCTCACAGGGGAATTTACAGATTAATGCCTGACTTCAAAAATGTGCCCAAGCTTCAATTATTGTATTTTCTGTGGCTAAAAATTTAGCAGGGAAAGAGGAGTTCAAGGCCCCATCGTACAACACTGAAACAAAAACAAAAAACTATTTTTTTTTGTATGAACCAATTTTATCTTGATTCTGAAATAATCAATAATGATTTGAGGTAATAATTAATTTAATCAAGTGTTTTTTAGCTTAATTTTAGTACATCCAGTCTTAAACCAAGATTTGCCAATGGGACAAAGGCATTTACAGTAGTGCTATATAACTTGCTACTTTTTCTCATTCCAAGGGAGACATTTCTTGTATCTTTTTAAAACAAGATCATTTTGCTTTGTCCCATTGGCAAATCTCAGTCAAAATGTGCTGAAATTAAGATACATTTATTTTTTCATGATTTTTTGCAGTGAATTCACTCAACTTGACGAAGGATTAAACCAACTAGGTGCAAGATTGAATAGCTTGAGTTACATTTTTTGCATTATTTCAAAACCATACAGTCTCTCTGCTCTAGACTTACCGAGAGGCAGGAAGACAAAGTCGTCTAATAGAGGATCGGTTTCAGCATTTTCCAGGCTACAGGGGAAAAAAAACAAAAGTTGTAAAAGCAAGTCAAACAAATAAATGGTTGCGCAAACAGAAAAAGTATTCATGTGTTTTGTGAGGGTTTGATTTCCTTTGTGATCAGAATGTGTTGTGGAACGAGCAGTAAAAATACTACTGAAGTCATGAAGACAAACCTGTTGTCTCTGTGCAGGGCCTCCTCCCTCCGCCGCAGGGACTCTGGACAGGGAGGCTCCACCGTACGGGAACGGACACTGCACGCTGCCAGATCTTCACCCTTCAAACCAAAGACCACATCATCATCATCATCATCATCATTAATATTATTATCATCGTCATTATTTTCATCATCACTATTAACCCTTTAATGTCCAGCGATGTACATGATCTAGAGAGGCTTTACCATCAGAGGATAATGAACCTCATTCACAAAAAAATAGCAAACATGTAAACAAAAAAATTGGATTAGCACAAAAAAAAAATCTGATGTTATGATTATGTTTTTAACTTCCCATAGCACCTTGAGATGTGTTCGCACAGGTAAGGTGCGTTATACATAAAATCTATTATTATTATTATTATCGTCTAAACTATCTATTCTTTACACATACTGTATAATCAATCAGCACAAGTATACTAATATATCCAACATTCTAAAAACAGTAGGAAATTTGTCACATATACCTCCAAAATGGACATGGGATTCACTGCATCCATCCGGCAGAGTCTGCGTCTATTTGGGAACGGTGACTCCTCACAATTGGAGCTTGGACTTCCCCAGCTGCTCCCCAAGTCCTGTGTGTGAAAAGGGAAGTGTCAAAGCGCGGGTGACTAAACATTTTTCCTCAGAAATATTACATTTTGTTTGTTCCAACAGAAAGAGAGTCTTGTTAAAGTAACAATATGCGAAGATCAGAGAATCAAACTATTCAAACCAAAGAAATAAAACAGAAACACATGAGGGGAAGATGACCAATGTCCAAGTGGACCTCGGGGAGGTCCACATTGAGAGAGGGATCCGCTCCCATGGACGAACAGGCTGTAGATCCCGGACTCCAGGCTCAGGACAAATCCGACCATATCATCCAATCCAATCCACTTTATTTATAAAGCACTAATAAAAACAACGTGGTTGACTAAAGTGCTGTACATAAAAACACATACACAAATATACAAATACAAAATACAAAACAGTGGCAAAAAAATCTATTGAAAATCAATTAAAAGCCAGTGAGAAAAAATGAGTCTTAAGACGAGACATAATAACAGGAAGTGACTCAGACAGTCTAACACACAGGGGCAGCTCATTCCATAATTTAGGACCAACAACCGAAAAAGCTCGATCTCCTCTGAGTTTACGTTTAGTCGGAGGAATCCAGAGCATTTTGTCTTTACCCAGAAAACATATAATCTTTTGCAACAGTGGGACCTGTAACCCACTGTTTGACGCTTAGGGGACCACACGCAATCAAGGAAGAAAGGAAGAGAGGAGAAAAAAGGAAGAGCGGAGAAAAATTTTTTTGAAGCTGCAAATTACTTTGTCTGTACAATCTGACTGGAGCTGTCAGTCTACACTTTGAGGGCCCCTTGCAGCAGAAGTTGTAGATACAGTATTTCCTGTTTGAAAAGTACACAGAATTGTCAGTACTTACATCAGAGCTCTGCCTCCTCTCCCTGGATCTGTGCACGGCCTTCAAGCAGAACAGTCTCTCCTGCAGCTCCACCAGCTGTGACCTCAGACAGTCCTTCTCCGTCAGGATACGAGTGATCATGGCCTGGGCCTCGTCTCGTGACTGGTAAGCCTGAAAACAAGTGAGAAGACTGGGTCACGCTAACTCAGGCATGTCCAAACTAAGGCCCACGAGCCAAATCTGGCCAACTATGTAATTATGTGGCCCTACACTGCACTGCAAAAACATGATGAGGTAATAAATGCTTGAATCAAATACGGGTACATTCTGACTGTCTTAAAAGAAGATTTTCCAATGGGACAAGCCATTTGGTCTTATTTTGATAACTGTTGTTTTATTTTCTCATTCCAAGAAGAAAAATCATTTTGTTTGTCCCGTTTGCAAATCTTGTTCAAAATGTGTTCAAATTAAAGGTGCAGTATGTAATAATCTGGCCAAAAGTAGTGCTGCAACCTCTCCCACTCTCCCTGACTCCGGTTGCCAGATATGCAGACTAATCCAGCTGGGACCATAAAATCTGAATAGAGTTTTTCCCCTGGTGAACTAAAGTAGCTTTTGAGGACCGAGTTCAATACCCCTGGTTTAATACAATAACTTGATTTTGTTTTATTGGCACTCTTCCAGCTAGTGAAGCAATAGTAAATAGCAATACATGTTAATGTAATCATTAACAAAGAAAATCATCAAGTATAAGGACAGTACCAGCAATAATGGGTAAATCATTTCATGCAAACTGCAGATCCCATAACCTAAAACTAAATGTCCTTTTACATAACAATTCATGTACTGTATCTAAATATAAACTGCAAAGGATCAATACAAAAAAAGAAAAACCTTTTGTGCTATTGATTCAACTCCCAACATGTCACTAGACACCACAGAATGGTTGCAGCTTCATATACAGTACATACAGCAAAAAAAAAGAAAAAAGAATAGACTCTTTCAAAGTTGCGCAATTTCCCATACACAAAACACAAAGACGTGGTGTGGCTTGTGTGGGAGGCAGCGGGAGAAGTGAGAGGTGATACTTAGTGACTGGCTGGTGGAACAAACAGGTGTATGATAAGTGAGGCCCAGGGGGTATAGGGTATATAGGGCTGACCTGGTGTCGCTCTTCCTGCAGCTCCCTCATCTGCTCCTGGATCACGGCGGCCTTCTGCTCATGCATGGAGCAGTCCAGGCTCAGCTGCTGCACCTGTAGGCCCAGAGACTCCTTCTGCTCCAGCAGCTGCGGACACACAGGCCAGGGTGTCAATACTATTTACAATATTATAGAATCGAATGGATTCAATAACAATAGTAATAATAATAAGAGTACATTTATTTCTTAGGCGCCTTTCTTGACACTCAAGGTTGCCTTACATACAAGTAAAAAAGTGCATTTTAAAAACAGTTAAAATGCAAAGTTAAAAGCATCATGGGCAGAGGAGAGTGTGATTATGATGTTAGTGATGATTATTATTAGATGAGTTTTAAGGGTGGATTTGTTGAGTGTGAGTGAGTCGGTGTTACGGAGGTCAGGGGAGAGAGTGTTCCAGAGCTGGGGAGCAGAACGGCTGAAGGCTTTATTCCCCCTGGTGACGATGGGGATGATGATATTGTCTATCATACCTGTATGTTAGCTTAAAATTAGCAACCAATGTACAGGTTTCATGGGGATTCTTTACCAGTTGGATATACAATATACACCTATTGGCAGTTAGGTATATTTGATAAGATTGTATGACACTACATACAGGAAAATGTAGATTGTTGTTCAGATGGCCAATAATTTTTGATTGATTGAGATCACCATGACATTGAAAAGTAGTGTTTAAATCAATTGAAACATCAAGTTACAAGAATAACATTATGCGTATGTATTGTATTCATTTATGGTCATCCCGTTCCCTATGGACCATTGGCTCTATATGAGGTAAAGTCCCGAGACAAACTGCTCTTTAGGGAACTGCTGTTTATGGTATGATAAACAATACAAACGTATGATACAAAAAATAAATTGAATTGCATTAAATTATAACAATGTGACTCTATACCACACCATTTGCTTGTCTCGGAGCAGGTGTTCGTTCTCCTCTCTGTAGGTCTGCAGCTGCTCGGCTAGTTCCGCTTGGCTCCCGATAGCTTCAGCCAAGTCCTGGGCCAAAATGTCGTTACGAGCCTTCCACAAACATTCACAACATTAATGATAACACATCGCATTATAGACGGCCTCAGTGAAAGCATATTGGAGGATGTCTCACTGGGTCCAGCTTCTCGGCCTTCTCCAGCTGACAGCGCAGACTCAGAACCTCGGCCTGGAGCTTAGGGTCCAGTGCAGACCTGCACCTCAACGAGCACTTCCTCTGGTTTTCATTCTCACTTAGGGCTTTCTGCAAATCTGTCTGGACCTGGTACATCTGCAACAACACAGGACAAGGAATGTGAAAAAGAGAGCAGCAGACCAACCCTGGCATTTAACATGAGACCCCCGTAGAGGCCGAGCAGCCATGTTAGAATTATATTTTCCTGGTATTAGTATTTGACTTTGGTTAGTCATGTTTCTAAGTAGAGCTGTAACCTTACTCCCATCTCTGTGTGAAGTGCGAGACAAATGCCCACAACAATTGTAAAGTGCTTTGTGACTCTGGTCTGTGAAAGGCGCTATATAAATAAAGATTACTTACTTACTTAATTCAAAAAATATTTGAATAACCAAAAAAAACGATGACTTGTTTAGACCTCGAAAGTTCTGTGAATGTAGGTTTTTTTGTGACCAAAATAAAGCTCAAGGGATGGCCCTGGATACACATTGAGTTGTTTGATAAAAAATATGTCGTAAACACATTTTCATTTAATTCTGCAAACAAAAAGTCATGAAACCTCTTCTCAGCATTTTAAGTCTAAGATTCAGATAACAATTAATTAATTATAAATTAGAAGACAACAATTTCAACTGAGTAGCAATTCATTTATGAACTTTGATTGATGAATTTTAAACTAATTGATTGTACTTTCTATACTTTTACTCAAATGTACATTCCTCTACCTGTCTGTGAAGTGGTGAAAAAAGACAAAACAACATGAACCCAGTCAAATCTTAGTAAGACAGTAAGGAATGCATGTTAAAATAAGGGAATAATTCATATGTTTAACTATATACCGTTAGTAAATTGACATGGACTGACCCAGTCAAATAAGTGAATGATTACAAAATAATACAAAATTATAGTATTGCTTCGTATACTAGTGTCAGTATCTAAGACCAGTACTTTTGCCACCTCTGTACAAAGGGGAGTTCAAGTTGATGTTGTTTAATGCAAGGAAAAGACCCGTATCAATGCATCATATAGAATTCTATTTCTGTGCACAGACCTGTAGCGTGAGATCATGGAGGCGGATGTTGAGCGCAGATTTCTCCTCTATCGCTGTGGTGTAACGCACATAGAAATCACATTTTTCCTCTTTCATCTTGGCGATCTCTCGTTGTAGAGCCCTAAACTGCCTCTGCATGCGCTCATTTTCAGACTGAAGGCATTGGGTCTTGGCCTCGTGCTCCATGATCTGTGCGAGCTCGGTTTCCAGAGTGGAGCAGCGTGCGGTCATGCGGCTGGCCTCATAGCGCGCGTCCTGCAGCTCCTTCTGCATCCCGGTGACGGCACGGACCAGGTACTCCGTCAGCTCCGAGTACTTTATCAGACCTGCAAAGAGACAAATAAACTTTCTAAGTCAAAATAAAAGGAACCAATCAATCAATACTTATTCGTAGAGCACCTTTCTTACTCAGCTCAACACAAAGCGCCTCACAGTCCACATCACACAAGGCACAAATGATCAAAATCACATTAAAAACACAATTAAAACTCATTAAAACATTAAGGAAAGAAACACACGTAGGTTTCATCTGCACCGTGCAAGATCTTACAATATTATAAAAACATTTGGAAATATAGATGATTGACAACAATAGAATCCACACCTGAGCAGTTTGGGGTCTGGTTAGATCTGTGCAGCTAAGGTCTGGAACAGTCTTCCTGAAAAATGTAAGGCAGGCTTCTTCACTGACAATGTTGAAATCCAGGTTAAAAACAGTGATGGAAGGATTTTTATCTTCACTCTTTTTAATGTGCTGTAATTAGTTTTGATTTGTATTGTTGTTCTGTTTTGTTGAGCACTTGGAGTTGCCTTGTGTGCTATGCCGTGCCTTGCCTAACTGTGCCTTGCCTTGCCTACTCTGTCGTTGTGCCCTTAGGCAAGACACTTCACCCGCACCTGAGTCTAGTGTGTGTGTGGTAAGAGGAGTTGATGGCACAGATTGGCGGCCTTACTTCCACCCGTCTACCGCAGGGCATCTTTCACTATAGCAGTGTGTGTAACTATTTATGTTGAACCTGGAAAGAATTGTTACCAAATATAAAAAATACAAGGTTCGAAAAGGGGTTGGATTTAGGGAAAAAATTATATAATCCCATTCCCCGTCATCCATTCCACACAATATCATGCAATGACAAAACCATATAGTAGAATTTAAAAACGCACAGATATAGTATAAAACATACACATGCACGCACACACACACATAATTTTAAAGTAGTTCTAAATTTAGGCAAATAAACTCTTTTGCTTCCTCTTAGTCTGTAACTATGGAGAGCATCTCTGTCATGGAATAAGTTTTACCACTGAAGCGCGATGGCTCGGTGCTGGGCTTGCGTCCCGTCACTTGGGTGTAGAGCGTGGGGTAGTGGATCATCAGACTGTCCAGTAACGCCACTGCTCCATTCCGGCCCTGAGTCCGCAGGAGATCCAGCATGTAGCCTGGAGAGTTCAGGAAATGACTGTTAGAAATCTTACCGGAACACTGGACGGAGGCGTGGGGGGGTTATCTTAGCAACTAAACAACAGAGATTCAGCAGGAAAAAAAGGAAAGTGCCTGAATTAGACCGAGGTCAATATCATGAGTGCTTTTGAATTACTATTACAATTATTGAGCATTTTCCACAAATATGTTTGAAATTACACAGTTTTCTTACTTTGCACATGAGGCTCTCTTCTTCACAGATCTGCATTTATAGGAAATCCTAGTATTGTCAGTGATAGAAATTGGCATATAAATGTATTTTGCTTTGAATCACAAGATAATTAGTCAGAACGAGTACCTGGAGGGTTTTTGTTTGCTCCCTTTTTCATTCTTTGGGAACAGCTGGTTCTCACTATGTAACAGATTAACAACCATACAAATTCAGAATAAATGTTCAGCATTCAGTTGAAAAACAGTAACTTTTCCTGTGAAATTATTTTCATACATGAGTTGGAAAGGTACAGTGTAGTTGACCCTATGAACAGAAGATCACGATGGCATAATTTCCTTTTAGGATGTAGGAGTATTTGACCAGGTCAAACCACAACTTCTCTAATTTGTATTTGTCCAAACTAAGGCACAAAAAAATGCTGCCATGACACAAAAAACAGCAATGTTTCAAAATGTTATTGTTGTTTTGTCAGTGGTTGTATTTGCAGAGTGGTTCCAGGGAGACAAGCAAACAATTAAACTGTGGGGTGTTTCTTTAAAAAAGCGACCATTCACTTTAATCAGAAATATACTTAAATTATAGCACAGAATGAATATTAAAATAGTGAAATTGCATTTCCAGCTGATGATTGACATTTAAATAAAAAATCCTGTACATCATCCCTGTACATTTAAGGACATAGACCCTCTGCAGCACTCATCTCTCTTGAACTTTTAAGGAAGTAAGTAAATAAGTAAGTAAGTACATTATTTTTATACCACCTTTCACAGACCAGAGTCACAAAGCGATTTACAATTGTGGGCATTTGTCTCCCACACAGAGATGGAAGCGGGTGCAATTGTACAAATGTACAACTTAAAAAGTTGTACATTTATCAAAAATGTTAATTAGTAAAAGGTGAATCCATGTTCAATACTGCCAGTATGTTCAGTGTGTGTGTGTGTGTGTGTGCATGTGTATATTTTTAAATGCATAAACTGTAAGTGCAGTAGGTCAAACAACATAATAAATATGATAGTGTCTCTATAAACAGTGTAAATATTGTATGAATGCAATCATTTCTGCTCATATTAAGTTAGTAATATTTATTTACACTGATATTAAATGATCAAACACTATGGATCCAATGCAATCCGTTGATACATGGTGCCACACTGGCGGTTATCTCTCTATAATCTCGGGTCCTCTACCAGACCGTGAAGGTTCTGCGTAACATTCTCTAACAAATGTTCTTGAAAAAAATGAAAGAGTTTTCAATTGAAATGGGTCAAATCTTAAACATAACATAATCCCTGACACACTAAAAATCAAGAAAAAAAACACTAAACTTACTTGTCCTCATGGAGCGGTTGGAGAGTTTGTGGCATGACAGGATCTCGTCTTCATCCACCTCGGTCAGCACCCTGGCCTGCCTCAGGTAAGGAATGACCCGACTCGGACGAACATCCAGTGAAATCTTGTGCCTGTTGTCGTTGATTAGTTCCCAGAGGTCTTCTTCCGACATGTCTTTCAAATCTCGCCCAACTTGTGCGCAATCTCCTGCCATGCTGAGTCCGTGTCAAACCAACTCAGCACACTCTCCTCTCTCATGCCTGGAAGTAGACTGACTAAGAGTTGAAAGATTAGTACATTAAAAGGGTAGTTGGCTGGTTGTTTCCACGCCTCTTGTGGGTGTTTGTCTTGCTGTGTTTATGTGTGGGCGTGCTGGGAAACCTGTCGGGCAGGACAAAAAGCGGCGGACAGAATGAAGCATAGGATCAAACAAAACCTGCCTCATTCATAGGTCCGCTTTGGAACTATACTGTTTGTCTTCACTGATTGCCAAATATTAAATGACACCATAAATCCTCTGCCTGGTGTCAATAAGTATAACAAATTGTTTGCTCAAAGCAGATTTGTCACAGCAAGTGTATTTATTAACTACGATTCTACACGATAAAGTCTGTTGGTGTGATTAAAATAGAACAAATAAACATACCAGGCCAGTGACGAAAGCAAGTGAGTGCAACAAGTGCAAAGTCCTCAGCGAGAAGCAGGAAGTAAGAACATGTGGGGTGATGTTATGAAGGGGAAGGCTGCTCACACTTCACATGGTTAACATAGGCGTGTGTGTGTGTGTGTGTGTGCATGTGTGTGTGTTTGTGTGTGTGTGTTTGCTGTAGTAGATATGCAAACTAATGAAGATTACACCAACAGTAAATGACTAAACAGTGCAGAGGTGGTGAGGGAAGTGCGTCGACACTGGAAAGTAAACACAAGATTGGTTGAGGAAGGTTCATCTCGTCTTCTCAGTAGAAATAAAAGTATTTGGTTTTTTCTATTTCTACTAAGAAATACAAGTATAGATTGGTATAGAAAAAAAAAACAATACTTAGCAAGTTGCAGTGAAGATAATAATATCAATGTTGAGATATTTGGAAATGTCTCTATGTTCTTTGCAGACAAGAATACCATCAAGAAGATTATTCACAAAACTATTATGATTAGAAAGTAGTTTAGACTTTAATGTGACTGCTGTAAGGAGCTGAAATAGAGATTAGAAAGCTCTATAGTTGTATAGTATTGTAAATTGCATCTCAAAGTATTAGATCATTAGTTTTAGGTATAACATTCCAGAAAACATTTATTATATGTCTCTATGTATGTTTTTGAGATGGAGATACACAATCAACATGTGAGACATTACAATATTTATAGCCAAGACTAATTTTCAATGTCTGTCCCAAAAAGGACTTTTACAATAGATAAAAACACATTTACATTTACAAAAGCAAAAGGTCACTCAAGTCATGATCACATTATTCACACAGCGCCGCAAATGGCGAAGTGGCACGCTCTCTGCCAAAATAATTTCCAAGTGGTTCCCTGTTTGTTACTTACATGGCAATAAAAATGATTCTGATTCTGATTCATTTCATTTTATTTTTAAAGCTAATCAGGTTAGTCACTTGTTAGTCACTAATCAGACACTTGTCACTTTGTTGTACATAATTATTGTCACTTTTATTGTACATATATATCCTGCATGTAACATGTTTGCACATTTCCTCCTATCTGTCTTTATCCATGCTAAATGTGACATGTACATTTCTCCTATGCGAGACAAATAAAGCACATCTTCCATCCATCCATCCATTTTCTTCCCCTTAATCCATTTCTGGGTTGGGGGGGTGGCAGTCAGAGCTGCACCCAGTACACTTAGCACCAGCCCCTCACTGATCCTCCTGCAGGTGGTGAGTCCACAGGAGCTGAGATCTTTCAGTGGGAGCTTCAGGCAAAGTGGGGTTAAGTGTCTTGCCCAAGGACACAACGACAGCAGTCATCAGTGGGAGTCGTGAAGTAGGTCTTATGGTGGGCTTGAACCCACGACCTTCAGGCCCAAAGGCCAATGCTCTACCAACTGAGCCACTGTCGCCCCTTATCACATCTTATCTTATCTTAACTTATCTCTTCAGTTTGAACTAAGGATTCAAATAGGGCAGAAACATGTTATGTGTTTCTTTTCATTTAATGTAGTGAGAGTATTAATGTGAGGTTATAAATTTAGTTTTTGTTGATTGAAATGTACATTTGGGGCGACAGTGACTCAGCTGGTAGAGCATTGGCCTTTGAGCCTGAAGGTCGTGGGTTCGAACCTACCAGGAGACCTTTTCCACAAAAGTCACTGTTCATCATATTCAACACAGAGAGAGAGAACAGCAGCAGGTACTTTCCCTGGCCTGGGCAAACTACAACAAACAATTATGATCCACTTTATTACATATTTGTTTTGGACTTTTCCCCATTATTATATGTTATATGTTCAAACATGATTGACTGACAAAACAACAAAAGAATTACACAGTGAGTCGAAAAAAATATATATAAATAATAAAATAACTAATAAAAAACGATTGAAGTGGCCAAAAGGTTGCATCTTTATGATATTATGTTCCATCAAAAGAAATGATAAACATCAGCTTTACATCAGCATTTTGAATGTTTGTTTTGGCCTTGACTGAAAACAAGTGTTTCTACATGTTTTTAGTCAAGGCTAAGGGTGTTTGAGCCAATGAAATACATGAAAGGTTAAGTATAGGTGCTGTTTTTCTTCACAATTAAGTGATTCAAGAAGTGTCTGTGTATCACTGTTGCAAAAGGTGAAGCCGGTTCCTCAACTTTCCCAGCCAGCCACACCAACACCGCAGACGTCACAAGGATTTCAGCAACAAGAAAAACCTCTGTTTACTAAAAATAGCTTCCAATATCAATGCATAAAGTTACAATGAATTAGAGAAATCTGGTATTGGTCATTACCTCCGCCCCATAGGTGGAGACATATAGTGTTGGATATTTCATGTGTTCTTTAGTAAACAACATAACAGTGATCATTATGGGGAATTTGGACAAAATGTGCAGGCAACCTTCGTGATGGAAAATTTAACAAGTTCTCAAACTTTGGAGGAGCTCTGAATTGACGACTGGATGCAGGGATTTGTAACGTTTGCGTATAGTAGAAATCTGTACATGTTATGATAGATCGATAGCATTTTCACACTGATGAAAAATGCAAGGATTTGTGATCAAAAACAAAAGGGCAAAAAAGTCCTGCTACATACTCAGCAGGTAATTTATACAATACATTTATCAAAACAGCGGTCAGAAAGTGAGTGTATAGTGACGCACAAGTATCAGCGCTCACAATGGGTATCACTTTAGTCACTTCCCGTAATTCACATAATTCAGACAGGAATACTTCATCAATCAACGTCATGAAATTGTTTGTTGATGAAATTTTAATTAAAGTACATTCATCTCAGATAATGATAAATAATCATGCCATAGGTCACAATAGCTAAACACACACAGCTGTTTTATACACCCACTAATATCATGCTTTGGACAGGGCGTGGGAATATCCAGAATTTTCATTTCCCTTTTCTCAGACACAAGATTGCACATAAACAGTATATCTCTTAAGCTTTAATAGTGACTGTAATCCACATTAGTCCTTTAGCCCCATACTCACTGTCAGCACAGCTCTCGTTCTGGGGTCCTCTCCTGTGAATGAGCGGCCAGTACCAGAGTCGGCCTCCGCAGCGCCCTCTGGTGGTGGGGGAAGTCCTGGCACACGCGCTGCAGGATGGAGCTGGTTGTGGCCAGTCGCTGTGTTTGAGTCTGGAGGGACGCTTCGATGGACTCACTGTTGGACACAGGCTTGTAGCTGTTGTCTTTCACTTTCTGCAGCTTCTTAGATCTGTTCTGGAGCACCACCAGACTGGAAAGGTTCTGAACACAAGGAGAATTAAGGCATGGTTACCAAATGCAATGCAAACATGTGTGTGTGTTTTAGACAATGTTTTAACTTGAATTGGTTGGTGCACACAGAGTACCTTTTTTTGCAAATGTATTCCAAGGTGGTTTTTAAACTGCACATGGCAAATAAGATGAATCTGAATCTGAATCTGAATACAATTCTGTAACCGTAATCTCTAACTGAGATTCTAAGAGAGTAGTGAAGCACGATAAATACTTTATTTTATTTTATTGTCAATGCAGGGAACATAGAAAGCCACACCAACTTCTTTTCAGCACTAACAAATTGCGTCTGGACAACACGTTTTAGGTTGGCAGCTGATCCAATCACAACAGCAGCAAGAAATTCACAATGTTACATCACTTGCTGTGACGCTCTGTTGTTGCTAAACCACACGTGCAGAAATCTTTTGTCGTCCAAAACTAATAACACAGTGAAGACACGTTTTTTTTTCTTCTCACGTTGTATCACATGCCCCCATAGCGGCGAACTTCCCTGTCCAGATTAGACTGGGAGTTTCTCTGGCATTTCAGGCTAGCGAACTTTCAAAGAAGATTCAAATCAGAAAAGATGAAGTGAAAGAAAGTCCTTGTCATGATTATTGAAAGATTGAAATGGAACACTCCTGCACTGTAAAAAATACAACTCAAAATTGTTCACCTTACTAAGATTTTTGCATTCACTGACAATAAAATTGCCAGTTGGAACTGGAACTGTCTGTTGTGAGCCTCTTGAACTCACTTTCAGAAGTTTCTGATGAAAAGTTAATCTTATTTGATATATTAAGTTGATTCTACTTTGAAGTTGTAGTGAACTTCTGAAAGTGGCTCACAACAGACAGTTCCAGTTCCAACTGGCAATTTTCTTGTCAGTGATTGCAAAAATCTGAGTAAGGTGAACAATTTTGAGTTGTCGTTTTTACAGTTCACCGAGCTAGAGTGAGGTCAACTTATCTGCGTTTGCTCATTTAAATATTTGTCATGGCAACCGGCTGCATTCAACATTTTGAAAAAACTAATTTGACCAAATAAATCACTGTATTTATTTTTACCAACCGTAATCGACAGGGCCAAGCCAAAGTAGCCCTACAGGTATATATTCCCTGGGTCAGTCTTTCAGAAACATTAGTTTTCCCCACTAATCGGATTCACAGTGTGTGCGGCACGGCGGCTGAGTGGATAGCACTCTCGCCTCTTGACACAAAGGTCCTGGGTTCAAATCCTGGTCGGAACAGTGCCTTTCTCAGTGGAATTTGCATGTTCTGTGTCTGCATAGGTTTCGTCCAGGTGCCCCTGTTTCCCCTACCCAAGTTACCTTGGTCTGTAAAATGTGCTATACAAATAAACATCATGATGGTTTAATGTGGGGGCTAATTTAAACTCAATATAGAAAGTTATTGTAGGGGACAGTTATCTGAACATAAAAAAGTAAGTTTTTACAGACTTGAAATTTCCAGTAACTTGAATTTAAAAACTTAGTTGGCAGAACTTGGAAAACCTAGCTGACACAACTTAATAAGTGTAGTTCTTCAAAACGTGAAAAATTAAGTTAATGCCTTCAACTAAAAAACCTTTCGCAGCTGGTTGCTTTGAAATTTTGAGTTGAACTAACTTTTTCTTTTTTACAGTGTGGTAGATTAAGAATAACACCAATACATGAATATGAGTTTATTCATGTGTCTTTTTCTTTAGGGGATTCTAATACATTTTTTATTTGACAATTACCTCCTGGAAAATCACACAATGAGAAATTAAGTAAATGATTGATGAAAAACCTCAAACATATGAATCATATGTTGGTTTATCTATAATTCAAACACTTTATAGAACTCACCTTATCTTTAGTATCCTGAAGTTTGTCAAAGTCCTGGTCCAGGGCAAAGCTGTTTCCACAGAGGTCTATAAGCTGCTGCTTCTGCTGTGAGAGGTGGCGATCCACACTCGCCTGGCTCTCCTGCAGCTCTCGGACCTCCTTCTCACACTCCTTCACTTGCTTCAGACAAAACCATGAGGATTATTTTTATAATTATTGAGCTTCTCTGCCCATCACAAGGGAAAAGGGGATGTGGGGAACAAAAAGGGGACAAAAAGTAAAGTGTGAAATGTAAATACAATGTAACACTTTGTAAAAAATTGGTCACATTAAGGATAATTATAAAGCCAGACGCTTTTTTCCCCTTCCTCATGCTCTGTAAGTAGATACCTTGTGCGTGGTGTTGATTTTGCGCTGCAGGCTCAGGATCAGCCGCTGCAGCTCCCCCTGTGTGGTCTGTTTGTTTGCCGAGTTGTGGAGGAGGGATTCTCGCCGTAAGACGATGGTGTCTCGTCGTGCTACGGTCTCTTCACTGTCTCGAAGGAGTCGCTCACGCTCTTTCATCAACTGAGTCAGACGCACCTGATAACACAAGCATACACTGAAAAACATTTAAAAAAAGAAACAGCTGCACTTTGGCTTCCTATTTAAGCTACTCCATCTCACATGTCGGTGGTTGCTGTCAAAGTTAATGTCAATACGTCCACTATTGTATTTCAAAATCAGAATCAGAATCAGAATCATTTTTATTGCCACGTAAGTAACAGGAAGTCACAGACTTGGAAATTGCTTTGGCTCAGTGCAACAGTCAGAAAGAGATAATAAAAATAAAGAATAAAAATAAAGAATAAAAAACACTTCTAAGGAATACATTTAAATTTAAAATAGAGTTACAGTTACTATTTACAATATACAAGTGCACATGGCAAAATGGCAAAGAATCTCTCTAAAACTCGAATGGTACCTCCATGCGGTGTATCTCAGCCTTCATTCTCTGAATCTCTGCCTGCTCCCCCACTCCCTGCACCGCAGCGTACGTCTCTTTCACAATCTGGATCTTCTTCTCCCACAACATGATCTGCCGCCTGTCAAAAACAGAAGAACGGAAAGTAACAACAACAACAACATACAGAGGCTTACAAAAGTACAAATACAACTTTAACTTGTTTACATCTGGTCATGTTTACAATCAAAACTTCAAAATTTTTTGGGATTTTCTTTTTGGAAAGACTCCAAGAATGTAAACAGTAAGGTGAACGCAGAAAGTAGTGTGCATTCTTCTTTACAAAACAACTCAATCTCTGTTATATTAGATTAGATAGATTTTGAAAAGCAGTAATCAGATCATTCCAAATTTTCAATTGGAAAAAAAGAAATGAAAAAAAAAAAACATTTGTTTTATACATGACAAAAATGTGCAAAAGTTGATGTTGTAAGAGAAGTGTGCTATAAATAAACAGTATTGTTATAAATACTCGGCTTCTATGAGGCAGTTGAAAAGCCTTTCTTTCTCCTCTGCAGTTTTTTCCCAGTTCATTTTTAACTTGATGGACTCCAACTCTTCTTCCTGAAAACATGAAACCATGTCAAGCATCAGAATGACAACATCCATCCATTTTCTTCCCCTTAATCCATTTCTGGGTCGGGGGGGGGGTGGCAGTCAGAGCTGCACTCAGTACACTAAGCACCAGCCCCTCACTGATCCTCCTGCAGGTGGTGAGTCCACAGGAGCTGAGATCTTTCAGTGGGGCTTCAGGCAAAGTGGGGTTAAGTGTCTTGCCCAAGGACACAACGACAGCAGTCATCAGTGGGAGTTGTGAAGTAGGTCTTATGGTGGGCTCGAACCCACAACCTTCAGGCTCAAAGGCCAATGCTCTACCAACTGAGCTACTGTCGCCCCTTGCAGAATGACAACAAACGGAAACAAATAAATGAAACCCAGTGATTACAGAGAGACCGTGCCTGGATTTTTTTGGTGAAGTCGGTCTTCATCAGTGCGTTGTCCTGCTCCAGCGCCTGGCTCAGCTGTGCGTTCTTACTCAGGAGGGTGTTCAATCGGGTTAGGTCTCTCCTCAGGACGTTTACAGACTTGTCGATGTTAGACTCATCCATGTTTACACCTTCAATTAAACCTACGGTGGAAAAAAGAGCGACGCAGCTTGGTATATGAGAATGTCATTGATTCAACTTTTAGTACTGTTTATCTATTGTACACTGCTCTACGGGGATCAATAAAGTATCTATCTATCTTTCCATCTATCTTTCTAAAAGCAACCACGGACGGGTGAGGATGACTAATCACTGAATTAATTGACTATAACATATGCATACAGTATAAAGTATATACTATATCTATAGTATTGATAGCATTTGAATAATAATGGAATTATGTAAAAAAAAAGTCTAACATATGAAAATAAAATTCAATATTTATTTATGTTTCCTGGTTAATGATACTTGAAAAACAACTACCACTGCTTTGCAAAACTCAGCAAATTTAGATTTTTCAATATCATTTTTTGTGTAGCCATGACAGCTATTTCACCCTCTTGACAAAACTGTTCAAAATGAAATAAAAATAGATTCCAAAACTATAATTGAAACATAAAAAATAGCAGGTCAAAACTAGATTTGTAGTTCTAGATAATATGAAGATGTACTTTAGAACTACTAGCGCAATATCATAACTACTTTTGACAATACTTTGCGTTATAGTCAAAAGAGCTTGTGTTTTATTTACTTTTATTTTGTACCAAGAATTACCGCTTATTGTCCAAAAAACATCATCACGGTGGAGAAAGCAAAAAGGAAAAGGTCCGAGGCACTCTGACTCAACTTAAAAATCCTTTATTGTGGAGGGGACATATAGCAACGCGTTTTGACCACTTTCTGGTCTCAATCAAGGCAAGTCAGAGTGCCTCGGACCTTTTCCTTTTGCTTTCTACATTATTGACTTTTGAATGCGCTGGAAAACGGCAGCAAGTCATAAGTAGCTCGAAACACTTATGTGCTTTACAAGTTTTATTTTTATTGCTTGGTTCTACCTGAGATGTTGCTGCAGTACAGTGTTCATGGTTTTTCACTGGTCCCAACCAAGCGGATCAGGTGAAAATCCACTGGAGGAAAGCTAACTTTAAAAAAAAATGCTAATGAAGGATTTAGCATTTTACTTTGGACTAGAGCAGAGAAAATGGTCCAAACCCAGTGGCTACTCCACCTCTGCTGCTGTGACCCGTCCTGCTCCACCCAGCGGCTACTCCACCTCTGCTGCTGTGACCCGTCCTGCTCCACCCAGCGGCTACTCCACCTCTGCTGCTGTGACCCGTCCTGCTCCACCCAGAGACTACTCCACCTCTGCTGCTGTGACCCGTCCTGCTCCACCCAGAGACTACTCCACCTCTGCTGCTGTGACCCGTCCTGCTCCACCCAGAGACTACTCCACCTCTGCTGCTGTGACCCGTCCTGCTCCACCCAGCGGCTACTCCACCTCTGCTGCTGTGACTCGTCCTGCTCCACTGCTGGGACTTGAAGGGCTGTTGCTGTTTATTAAAATCGTTAGCTTTTTGGAATTTGTTGTTTTTATTTTTTTTATTTTTGCTGCTACTGCTACTGCTATCTATCTATCTATTGTCCCACGGATCCTCGAAAAGCACCTGACTTCTCACGTTTACCCTGTATTATATTTTTTGATCCCTGTATGCACTCACTCCTCATGTGTTTTTGATCATCACGGTTGTATTGAAATTGGTGTTGAGCTTATTTATAGTATCATTAAAGTCAAGTCTGAAACCATATGGCCTTCAGCGGTCCCTGGTGCACGTACTTTGTAAACGCATGTTCTCCTGCTGCATGCATGTTTGCTCTGTCTCCAAGAGGCGGATGTTCCTGTTGGTGTCCTCCAGGTTTTGGTTCAGTCCCACCAGAGTCCCCTGTCTTTTGATCCAGAGTTGGTGATCCCGGTTTTTATTTGCCTCCAGGTCTTCAATCTGCGCCTTTATTGCGTCTGCTTTGATTTGCATAGGGCTCAGGTCTTCATTCTAGGAGAAAATTCAATCATATATTCTATTTTTATGATCCGGAATGAATGGCAATGATTTTGAAAGGTCTTACCCCTGTAACAGCTGCAATCTGATCGATCTTTTTCCGCAGTTTTGTGATAATACTTTGCTTCTGCCCGATTGTGAACATTGAAGATGATATTTTGCTAGTTTGGTCCGAGCGCTCTTTTTCCATCTTTGTAATTTCTTCATCAAAAGTCTTCTGGGTGAGCATCAAGTTTTTCAAATTTTGGCCAATATCACAGCTTTCTAATTTGGCCGCTTCAATTTGGCTCTCCAGCTGACACAACCGAGAAATCTGAAAGGATAAGAATAAATAGATACGCTTAAATGCATTTAGAAAAACACATTCTGATAGAGTTGGACTGATGCAACGGAGTTTTTCAAATTAGTCAGTTACTTCATTCATCTTTTTTGGTATAGATTGACCGATAGGAGTTTTCTGTGGTCATTTAAGATGAAGAGATCCTTTATACGTCCCGCAGTGGGGAAATTTCAGTGTTGCATCACCAGTTACAGAACAGTATACAACACAAGATAAATGAACAAAAAGTCTATACTAAATAAAATACATTCTCTAGCTTTAGCCTAAAACAAAAGCAAGTATAAAATCTCTAGCTTTGGCATAAAACGGAAGCAAGTAAAACATTTCTAGCTTTAGCATAATTAGCAGTCTAATATCTCCAACTTTAGCATAAAGAAGAAGCAAGAATTAAGATACCAACATAGCTCTGATATGGGGTATAACATGCCATGGTAGACTATCAGTTGGATTGGAAGAAGTCAAGGCGGATTCTGATTGTTCAAAAAATATATTGTAAAGATACACCAGTTATTTTCCACTGTCTGAGCGAACTGCAAGATTACTTCTTAGCCACCTCCTGCAAATTGTTACTATACTATCCTGAACTCTGTGGATATCTGTGCATGATAAAAACACAGTGCATACAACTGAGGGATTTTTTATTTTTATCCTAGTGCTATACAAATAAACTTGCCTTGCCTTGCCTATCTGCTTGTAAGTAGCATTAAAGCTTGTACCTTTTCCTTCTTGAGCGCTGCGAGTTTTTCAGAGAGTTTCTGGGAGAACTGGGTGGCCTTGTTGTGCGTGAGCTGCTGCTGCATGACGCTCACAATCCGGTCCTCCAGCTCCAGACGCTGGGCACTGTCTCTCTCCATCTGCCTCCTCTGGTCTTTCACCTCAGCGTCCAGGTAAGTGGTTTCCTAAACAAAGAGACATCAGCACAAATCAAATCAAGGACACTTGTAGCTACACCCATGCACAAATCTCCACTGTGGGTTTAAACACAACCAAATATACTGTATTTCATATTGAGAAATTGGGATGGAAAATATTAGGCCAGTCACAATAAAAATAGACTGATAGAGTTGGTTTATTCGGATAAACAATATGTGGCTAGATGTAGTCCAATAAAAAAGCTTTTTCACATGAGAAAGTGAAAAAGAGAGGACCACCCTCACTCACAACCAATCAGCTCTGACTCAGCCAAACAGCGAAAAATAGTAACTCACAAGCTCTTTCTTAGAAGTATGCAAAAGGAAACAAGTTTTCTAATAAGATAAAGACAGCAGGTTGTGTTTTGATTAGTTTGCTGAATGTTTTATGAGGTTCTTTCTGTTGGAACAAAAACAACTACTGTATTATTTGAATGATGAAAAGTTAGGTACCCCTGCTTTAATATCATAACGTACTGTAAATGGTCTAGAATCACAACTATTCTATTGAAAGACCAAAATCAGGACCTTTCAATAGACTTTTGGCTAATCTGATAGCATAGAACCACTTCCCAATGCTAAAAATAGACTTCTCTCAATTGAATGGCGCGTCTAATCGACCTAACAATAAAAAGTGCGTGATATAAACACAGTAAATACTTCTCGCCCTACAAACCTTGGTGACTTGTGCCAGGGTGCGCTCCGTCTCTCGAAGCGTGCGCAGGATGCTGCTGTAGCGCGCCTGCATGGCCTCTTGTTGGCTTTGTTTTAGATTTATTTGTGACTTGGTCGTACTGTTGTCCATCTGCGCTCTGTTCAGCTGCATAGTAAGTATCTCATTTTGCTCCTGCTCTTTGGCAATGGTTTTCTTATAGCCTTTAATCTCCCGGTCCAGAGATAGCAACTGGTGCTCAAGCATACTGTGGAGGTGAATAAAACATGTTGATTTATTAGAAAAATCACAAATATTTGACTGATATTGGAATGCGAAGTGAGGTAAGTACCGAACAGCCTCCTGCATCACTGTGAAGGACTCTCCCCGTCTTCTCATCCCGACTAGACTGCTGTTCCACTGCTGCAACAGCTGTTTTTGCGCCATTAGTAACGATGTCATTTCCATTTCAGCCTGTGCAAAAAATACAAATAACCCATGTGAAAAAAAAATATTCAAGAATATGAATCCACAAATAATACAATAATATTAACATTTATGGACATTGGTCATCTGCCCCTTTTCCTGTGTTGGAACTTTTAGAATCTCTGATCTATTGTTGAGGAATCGACAACTTTGGAGAGTCCTCGGAGATGACAGCTGTGTTGATTTAGGGTCATCCAAAAGTAAGTTGAATTGAAATGAATGAAAGCTCAAACTGTTGGCTTTGCAGCTGACGTGCATATAACACCTTCGACTATTAGTAAGGAACGCAGCTAGATTGGATTGAAACTTCAATTTTTCAGAAGTTGCAAGTTATTTTATCCAAAAGATGGTTAAGAATTATATCTATTTTGTATTTACAGATAGTTGAACCAAGTTTATAATCATTCTTCTTGGTAGAAAGTCGGTCACAGAAGTATTTCTATTTACTGTACGTTGCAACTTTGTTATGGTAAAATGTTTTATCCCCTGATTTTATCCCCCAATTTAATAAATAAGGTTATGGCTAAGGTATTACATTTATTTAATATCCCTGTAGGGAAAATTGTCCTCTCATTTGAGACATCATTCAAAAGCCAACCTGTCAGACGCAGTGGTCACTACAGTACAAAACCCGGTGACAGATCTCTCCATGTGGAGGTCAAAGAGCCTGAAGGGAATCCAAGGCCTAAGCTGACACGGGATCCAACCCATGACCTTGTTGCTGTGAGAAAAGTTACCTCTGAAAGGGCCTGTTTAGCAGCCTCTGTCTCTTCTGTCTGAGCACTGGTCTGTGCGTTGTACAAAGCCACCTGCTCGGTCAGTCTCTCCATTTCTTTCGTCAGTCGCTCGACATACAAATCCTACAAGAAATGGCGTTTAGATGAAGTGGCCTACTGTATATGCGTGGTTTGATTGTTACTTACATTGTGTTTTCATATTTACCTGCTTTAGTTTCTGTTCTTCAGCCTGGATCTTTTCTGCTTTGGCTTTGTGTGTGGCATTTTTCATGGCTTTTATGTTGGAGTGGAGTTCATCACTGAATTCTTGAGTGAAGGTGAGGTTATGCATCAAGCTGTCTATCTCTGACTGAAGTTTGGTCACTACATGGAATCAAAAAAGCAGCCACATTATTGTACCTTTTGTGTTTGTTGAATACCAGATAATGTTGTCAGGCTTACTATGCATATTCCTATTTTTATGCTGGGTTTTTGCGTTGGAGAATTGGCTTTTGTTGATGTCCAGCTGCTCCTGTCTCTGGCGATGTTTGCTTTCGGCCTCCGTCTTGGTCTGGTGAAGATCCTCCAGCTTGCAGTGGAGCCTCACCAGATTCTCATTCACTCTGTACGTGTCCATGAAGAAATCGGTCATCTCAGATTCAACCACTTTCTCCAAGGCAACCTGCAGTGACAAAAGACAATAATTCATCTCTGTGTTTTGTAGCAATAAGAGAAACAAATATGATGAACACCCATAGAGCACTATTCTCCCCCAGTCTTGAAACAAGCTGTTCAATGTTTCACAGTTTATTCACAGCATTTACAGCTACTCAATCAAGAAGCAATCATCTTATCTCTGTGTATTTTGTGTGCTCCTTGTGTGCTTACGACTGCCCTGCAACACCAAAAATTCTCTACTGTGCGACAAAATCGTATCTTATCTTAAAATGACAAATTATTGCCTGTTGTACACAGGTAAATAATTAGCATTTATTCTCCAGAAAACACAATCAAGATCTAATCCTTCAAATAAAACGCATTTTTACCACCGTAGTCTGTAGCGTCTATGGAAAGAGTTATGCATTATATTCTTGAGTTTGTGGCACCACCTACTGGCTTAAAAAAGAAATGTATTTACGCTATATAAATATTTCCATATTAGGTAAAGATCTTGTGCCTGCATATAAGTCTAATAATAATATTTATACAAATGTTATAAGTCTAACATCTAATATTTGAACGATCGTGTAATGGAAGTGCTAAACATAGAAAAAGAAAGAAAGAAAACCTTCTCTTTCAGTGCCGAGTTGATTCTCTCCAGCTCCTTGCTGAGCTGGACTCTGAGAGCTGTCTGATGCCTTTTCACCAGTTCCTAAAGAAGAAAAAGGAGAAATCAATGAGGATAACTGGGTGTGCTGATAATTCATTGGTTCAGTTATATATGCGTACATGATCTGGACCAAGTATGAAAACTTCCTCTTCTTCCTCATCAACGTCATAATTGTCAACTAGTCTCTGATCCTGCATCACATCATCAGTATCAGAGAAGTCTGGGGACACAGGGACAGGGGGGGCGTTCTCTTGAGCTGAAAAACAAAAAACAAACACCGTCTTCATGATGCACTATTGATGCATTCAATTGTGTGGTTAATTCAACCATCGTTTCCAGTTTCCAGCTGCCAGGTCCCTTCATCCTGAGAGGCGGACTTGTGGTACTCAGGCACAGGTGAAGGGGTTGGATCAACAGCGTGGCTCTCTGGGGGTCCTCCAGTCTCCTCCAACTCAGGACTCTCCCAAATATTCTCCAACACATTTTCTTCGACTGAGTTCTCCATTTGACTCCAAATGTGACTAAAACCATAGAAAATAAATGAGAAATGATAACCAGACAAACACGCTCGGTTAAACATTTAAACTCCAGCTTAGAGAAAAAGACATTGAACAGTAAGGGGAATATAAGTGTAGCATACGTGATTCAGAAATAAATACCCACAAACGAGACTGTAAATATTCTTAAAACACAGGAGTTAAACCTTCGCTCGACGCTCAGCTAGAGCCGGCCACGTTACTAGGCAACAGCAAACTTCCGGTCTGTGTTCCTCCGTAAAAAATCAAATTGATAATTCCTTGATGAAAAATAAATAAATGTATATAAATATTATAAATGATCACATGAAAAAAGTGAGTTCTTAAAACACTAAAAACATATTAAATATATGCAACAACCGTAATTCAAGTTTTTAGTACTAGGGATAATCGGGGCAGACCACAGACTGTAGGGAGAACATGCAAACTCCACACATAAAAAGCCCCACCTGGAGGTGGAAATGATTACTGACCTACTTGTTGTGAAGGTTGATCGCTAAATACTTCACGGTTTGCATTATTATTGATATGTAATTAGTATGTTTTACTACATTGTTTAAGCTGTTGGCAATCTGCAATGTATTTTTTTTTAAAAGTAACAGTATATAACTTTCAAGAGGTGGATTCCATGGAAATAAGATAATATCATCATGTCATATTGTCAAACTTATAGCAAAAGGAAATTTATATTAAAGCCGCAAGCGGCGTCAAACGGCCCTCGCCGCACCGCGCGCACCACCCCGCACCTAACCGCCCAGCACCAAGCCGCCCCGCATCAAGCCGCCCCGCACCAAGCCGCACCAGCCGCCCCGCACCAAGCCGTCCCGAATTAAGCCACCCCGCATCAAGCTGCCCCGCACCGAGCCGCCCCGCACCAAGCCGCCATGCATCAAGCGTGTTTAGACAATGTGGAGTGATATGGAGGCCAATCGGTGAAACGGCCGAGGAGGAGTCGCTTTCCAACCGACATGTATGAAAATGATTGCGGATCATTTTTCGATTTTGCAGTGAAATTTATGGGCCTCCTGTTTGTCAGAGGGCGGAGCCATGGTAACATTTCGTATCTTGACTTGAGGAACATGTGTACCGAATTTCATGGCTCTACGACAAACTTGACCTCTGAAACTCCCATTGGCTGTTGTAGGTGGCGCTGTTCTGGCATTTTTTGAGTCCCATAAAAATAAACACCCAAATATCAAATTTTTCACCAGGTCTGATGTTTGGGCAACATTTTACAACTTTTCATGCATGTTCGGGGGGTGAAATTAAGGCTCAAAGTGCAGAATTTGACATCTCTCGAGCAAAAACAATAGGCCCATTCCCCGTTCGGGGCTCGGGCCTAATAAAAACAAGTACGAGGCATTAAGTAAGGACACAACATGGATCTATTACAATAACAGGACACACATCCAAAAGTTACAAACTGTTTTTAAATATATACCTGGACCATAGACTGTAACTAGACATGAAGAGGGAAACAAACTACAACCACATACTTTTTAATTGACCAATGTTTATTGAGCTACAAATAAGGCATCTGCACATACAATATTTATCACAAAATTGGCCATAAAATTACATACATGTTTTAAAAAAAAAAAAAAATCATTACAATATCCTTAAATGATTCTCTTTTTCACTGTTTATTCCAAGAAGAAAATATGCAAATATGATCTGTTTTGTGCCATTACTGAATGTAAATTAATCACAAGAACAGAAGGTTAAAAGGGAATAACATTTGTCATGTCATTCTTTCTGAAACAAACATTGTAAACAAAAAGTCGCCGCACAAATTAAACATTAGAACAAAGAAATATGAACACTGGAGATGTACCATGTAAAACAAAACAAAACTATGGGTGCATTCACACTAGTTGGTCTGGTTCACTTTAACTGGACCAACGCTGGGTCACTTGGGACAAACATAGTATATTAGTGGATGTATAACCTCCAACCAGGGGAACATAGCAGTCACTTTAGTCAGTTTACATATTTTTAAACAGAATGACGGCTTTTTGCCGCTTAAGTGAAGCAGACTGGGTCCAGGTAAAGTGAATTCGCAAAACAAGTCTGAAGGCACCCTTTGCGTGTCCTCATGAGACACACTCTCGACCTTGTATTTAAACTTCATACAAATCAAGTGCCTTTTAATTCAACACGTTTTTTCACTATGCAATCCTTCAAACAAAGAAAGTAAAAGAATCGATTTATTGGCAAAACAATTACCGCCTTGTACAAAAACACACATTTTTATTAAATACAGTAGAATAACAGTTTTTTAGTTGTGCAAACCGATTGCATTCCCCAGTCCTAAACAAGGTTTCTTCATACCATAAATCACATACATTCAGCAGCTGTTTTTAGTAGCACTGTACTTCTCAATGAGCACACACAAAACAAAATAATCTATTCTTATTCATCATCCTATTAACTAATATTTTTTTCTCTTTAAATCATTGCACTTTTTAGAGTAAAGGTGAACGCTTTGAATGACACTTGTTTTATGGGCATCAGTGGTATATTAATGAGTGGTTGGCAAATAAACAATACTGGTCAATTAACACCTGGTCAGCTCAGCAAGCTGCAACATTTTATATCAAGTACTACACATTACCCAGCAGATGTGTAAACTAAAATCATAGATATAAAACTCTACTTATTTGCATTCATTTAAACTAACTTAAGAGACTTCTGTGCTTCATTTATCATATCAGGCCTTACATAAACTAGTCACATGTTGGCTGTAAGGTTATATGGTGAATTCAATGCTATTAGGTCCATTTCCTCTTCTATGTCTTCCGTCTTTCATGTTAAGAGAGAAAAAGACTGAATAAAGCCCATCTAAAAGGGCTTGGCATACCCCTCTATTTTAGCGAAGGAATGTAGTTGTTTGTACAAAAGTAGCATGTGGCTGATTGACTTTGGTTCCAGTTCACATTGTGAGTCTTCGTCCTCCTTTAGAAATACTGTAAACAAATGTCTGCTAACTGTCACTGCCCGGGTCCGAAGTCGCAAGGTCATCCGCTGGCCCCGCTCCTGCAGTGCGCTGGTCCATGACAGAGTGCATGACAGACAGCCATATGTCATCCATATTTGGCATTACAAAGATTTTCTGAAAAAAACAACAAAACAATCAGTTTTACTATCAAAATACATGCAATTAAATAATATGTGTTTGTTCATACTTGGAACTCTTGGTCCAGTTTTTTCTCTATCCAGTCCGTCACATGAGCCAGAGTCACTACTCTCTCGCCCAGCTTTGGCCGAGCTTTCAGTTCGATCCGAGGTGGTGTTCTGAATCCATACCTGAATAGTTTCACACAAAGCAAAGGCACAAATGAGTTCTACCAGCAGATGGAGCTGAGAACAGATACAATAATCACACTTAAGCGACCTCACCATATCCTGTCTGTGGGCGGAGGGGGGATATTCACCACCAGTCTTCCTCTGACTTCCTGTAATTCCACCGTCAGCAGGAGTGGGGTGTTAGAAACCTCCTCCATCTTCTTTTTAATAAACTCCGTCTCTGTTGCTTTCTGGAAATATTTTGACTTGGCAATCTTATCCACGAATCGCATAATTTTACTTGGTCTATGTCCTCCCACCAGGCTGGAATTCACAATGCAGTGTTGTTAAATATGTGTAATAGTATTAACTATTAAATTGTAACTGTACAAGAGTAAAATGAGTAAATGAGTAAATTAGTGTAACTGTATCTCACTCACCCATCGGCTCCCGCAGAGTCGTTTGACAGTTCAGAGGTGTCCTCTTCATCAGATGAACCAGCACTGGAGGATTCTTCATCGCTGTCAGCTAAACAGTAAGTCCGAGGTCTGTATCTAAAACACACAAATGCATAAAATCAGTAGGAACTTTATAAACATAGTCAAAACTAACAAAAACATGATATGAGATGGTGTTAACGAAACAAACAGTAAATGATGATGCATGAGTGTATCGCATTCTCGACAAAAGAGAGAAGGGATGAGTATTTCCAATAATGAATCATGCATTATGATCTAATGCAGTAATGTATTGAATATACATAGAATGGAAAATGGATATAAATAGTAGCGCGTGCTTAGAATAGTGCTCTGTTAATAAGAAAAGCTGTTAAAGCTTGTGAAATATGGTTGCCTGGTTGGCAAAATCTGAGATAGAACCCATGATGTTTTAAATAGGGTTTGGAAGTAGATGTTTTTTGCATTTTACACACATACATGTATATTTCAAAAAATCCGGCACCAGAGAAGAAAGTAAGAGCTGTAAGGCATGAAATATGGGAGATGGAAAATGATTATGAGCAAAGAGACACTCACCAGAACAAGACCCAAAGACATCCAGGTTAAGAAAAATCCAGAGGCCAAAAATACAGAAGACAAAAGATAAACAAGTAAATGACAGAAAGTGCGAGAGAAAGTGGGGCAGACTTCAGAGAGAGGAAATATACATATCACACAAAGCAGAGAGGGAAGGAGGCCAGCAGGGGGCCTTACCCTTCTTTGCCTGGCTCCCCGAAGCGCAGGCTCTCTTCTTCTTTCCCCAAACGAATCAGATTCATCTTGGTTTCCAGGGTCATCAGAAACGAGCCACTGTAGGCGACATCCAGATCAAACCACAGACCTGCAGCACATTAAAAAATAGTGGATCAGAACAGAGAGATGAGTCACTCCATATGCAGCTGTAGTAAAAGATAATAAAGTGACAAAACTTTCACTCTTTATCAACATACATTTTTGTTTTAATAATAATATATCCTGTACAGATTCACCCATTACCGTTTTGTTCTTCATTCTTTTGTTGCCCGTGTGTGTGGGTGCAGTGCTTTCTGTATGGCGCAGAATGTTATAATTTTTGTAAGGCTCAAAATAAAGTAAATTCAAATTAAATAAAATTAAATAAAGAAGTCATGTATACAACAAATGACCCAGTCCTTCTCGTCTGGACACCCCTGTTGTACTTTCTTATGCTTGGGCACCTTTTCTCCCTTGGTTGTAGGTCTTGCCTTTTTGTCCAGTTATTTTTTGAGTTTTATATTTTTTGTAGGAATGCTTTGTATAGGTACATTTTATAGTATCTTCGGGTCGTAACAGTTTTTTTTTGGTATGCTTTGTCCCTGGTTAGCTAGCTTTTTTATGCATATATTATTATTATTTTTTACATATACTAATACATTTTTGAAAAGGGGTTGGATGAAGTAGTGAACTTATGGCTGCAACTGCACTTTGTTTACAACTCTTTAACATTGGTTGTTTGAAGTTTGTTACGCATAATGGGATGTTCTGGATTGCAGGAAACATGGGGGAAGAAAACTGCTTTTAAATCTTTAATAAATCATATGCAGCCACTCGGTTAGGGATTTGATCTTTGCCTCATTGATGAAGTACAGCCGACTGAATGCACTGAAACTACATGCCGATTACTCATGGGGATTTGCAGCTAATAAGATTATTGTATTGTGAACAAATTGTTGTGGAGAAACACAAAGCAAGCCTATCTCAACGCATCCACATAACTAAAAGAATGAAATACATTTAAAAAAACAGTGCGAAACAAGATGGCGGTTATGGAAAGACGACGAAAAGATTTGAAGACAACTGCTGTCAGCGGGAAAGCTTCATTGATCCACTGCACTCTGCATGGGTGTACCAGGAAACGGCCCCGAGGTAGCAGCCACAGAAACACAAAGTACAACTGCATTATGGAGCTGGAGTACAGAAAATACAGACACATACAGACAGCAGGAGGGTTTCACGAAAATATCAAGTAATCTTTTCGTGAAATTTACCAGCAGCAAAATGTGCTTCTCTGACTCGATGATATCAGGTCCTATAAGCTAAATCTCAGTGGATCGAGCTTGTAGGACCAAAATGCTTTCTCCTTCATATGCTAATACCAACAGACAACACATTTTATTGCCTCTAGTAATTAAAAAAAAACAAACAGATGCATTTCTTCCTGGTATTTTTTTTAGTCACTGAGTCAGGAAATACTGTCTTCTTGGTGACAAAACTGTGACTTGTGAAGGAAGAGTGAGTGAGGAGAGAAAAGAGGAGGATGCTGGTAACACATGCCATCAATGTGGAAGAACGTGGATATGTGATTATCATAACGTGGGTTTTGGACTAGGAGATTCTGTTCTCTGTGGAATAGCAACAGTTTTTTTTATTTTTTATTTTGTATTAGTGCTAAAACACCAGCAGGATGGTGCTGATTAATTAGTGTATCACAGAGAAAATTAAAAAAATGGGTGAAAACTGGATGCGTCACAGAATAAAACAAAACATATATCCCAAGAACAAGAGGGTAAATGAGAATGAAAAAAGTATGACATGGTTTCAAGACTTCTCTCCTTAAAGTAAAGTGCCTTTCATAAAATGGCAGAAAAGGGATATTTAGTTGAGTAGGTCATAAGTTGTGCAATCTGCAAGAGCTCTCAGGTGACCCACAGATAACCTCCTGAAGTGCTTCAAGTACCGTAACTAGTGACTGTGACTCCACCCCCCCACACACAACAATACATTTCCTGTTTACCAGGTCGACCATGGGAAAATACATTTGTTTTTATTAGCCTTAGCGCACGTGCAGTTCGTTCACCCATTTAACTCAAATGTCTTCCAATGATTCCCGGGGGTCCCACTGCCTTCCAACATCAGGAAGCATTTTGCAAGTTACCAGCCTGAAGCACAGTAAATCTGATTTTGGGTCTATTAGTGAAAGAAGATGCAAAGTCATAGGATAGTTTCAGCTACAGACCAAATGACGATTATGCCTGAGCGAGTTAATGTTAGTAATTCCTCTTTCGTTTCGAAGATGAGCATCTGTTTTCCAAATAAAAATCACCACAGAAATCTTCTCACAGGGAGTTTCTCGCTGTGGGTGTAGCGTTTATTTAAATATGAGCTTAATTGTGAGGTTACAACACAAGAAATGGCCTGAGGAGGTGACGTTTAGATTTTGTATAGCTGATGTGGACAAACAAACATTCAGCAGCCTGTGTGTCGTTTTGGGTCTTACCTTTGTAATCCACGTAGGGTTTGGAGCCGCTGAGGATTCTGGGAGTGGATGAACCCATGTCCAGTTCTCTCAGGGTGAGCTCATTCATGAAGTAAGGCAACTGTTAGAGAGGAGAAAATATTAGCATTTATGTTTAATTTTCTGATTTTATGGTCTTATTGGTAAGGATATATTGGTATATTAGTATTGGCTTCTAATTTCCACATCATAATATATATACATGTGGTCAGTATAAAGCCCTCAGATGCTCAAAGCACTTTTCATCAATGTGATGTACAGTTAAAGACCAATCAAGCATTTTAACTATATCTTAAAAAGGCAATCCATGGATTTCATTATTATTAATTTTTTTAAGTATATAGATATGGGAAATCCTAACTAATAAGCTAGTCCATGAGGGCAAATATAAAAATCCATGTCAATTAAGAAAGATGAGATATACAACTAAGACTTTTTCTGTTTTTGAAAAGATCCATCCATCCATCCATTTTCTTCCCCTTAATCCATTTCTGGGTCGGGGGGGTGGCAGTCAGAGCTACACCCAGTACACAGAGCACCAGCCCCTCACTGATCCTCCTGCAGGTGGTGAGTCCACAGGAGCTGAGATCTTTCAGTGGGAGCTTCAGGCAAAGTGGGGTTAAGTGTCTTGCCCAAGGACACAACGACAGCAGTCATCAGTGGGAGTCGTGAAGTAGGTCTTATGGTGGGCTTGAACCCACAACCTTCAGGCCCAAAGGGCAATGCTCTACCAACTGAGCTACTGTCGCCCCCTATAAATCAAAAACTTACTCGTATTTTACTGAGCTTCATCTGGATCTTCTTGGAGACAATGTCAGTCCAGTAGGGTTCTCTTAAGAAGTCCCAGAAGATGCGCCCAAGAGCAGCGTTGAGCCAGGAGAGCGTGTTGTCCTCGGCCCCCGCGGCGTGTTCCGGAGGGGAGGGGCAGGAGCCTGGGAGCTAAACACATAGAGGAACATTGGTGCTACATGTGTATGAATAAATACATGTCTCTACACTGCAGCAGACAAGGACAGGCTGTTCTCTGTATCCTGAGGGCACACTGTGTTCTATGTATGCTTAACCACACTCTATTAAAGCAGGAGTGTCTCTGTGTCTGCACTGGAGAACCGATTGCAATTAAAATGTTGAGTGTGTAACTGATGGAAAGCAGCTGCGAAAAGGGCTACTTCAGGTTGTGATGTTTATCTAAAAAGTAATGAGTGATATTCTATAATTGTTTAAAGGGCTGTTAATATCTGCTCATGGATGCTACATTAGTAAATGGAGGTGTGTCTGGCCACAATACATCCAGGCAAGGCAGCGAGTGTGTTTGTTCAGCACAATACATACACGGGCCACTCAAAGTGCTTTATATTTATGAAATGTGCTATATAATTACAGTGGATTTGGAAAAGAAAGAAAAGTTCAAAAACATGAATCAGGTACAAACAAAATTTAGTAAGAGCAGCAAAACAAACATTTTGACATTGACAAATGAGAAGCTTGTCTCACATTTTCAGCACCTATTGCAGATTTTTACTTTGTCCATGTTCAGTCCATGTGATCCGCAGAGTCTGAGTTGCTACATATGGCACAAACATGTCTCAGATGTGCTCTGGTGGGAGGCCAGGGAGTTATTATGATAATTAGAATTATGATTATTATTAATACTCGTATATTCTCTACGTCTACATCTCTCAGTACTTTTACATTTGTGAAAAAATCTGCCATGATATTAAGTAAGAGTAATTCAAAACACCTTCATTATTAACCAAGATATCATTTAAGTATGAGCGAGCGTCAGGAGTGGTTTAAATGTGTAACTTGATTTCATCACAGTGAGTGACTCATTTTTGTTCCTACTCAAGTACGGTGTCAGAAAACTACTCTAAAAATATGCCTTCCTGTGCGAGTTTCAGAACTCAAAACACATGAAAATACATTTCTGGATGTCAACAAAATTATAATTCAATCTACATGTTATATAAACACTCTAAACCAGGGGTGCTCACACTTTTTCAGCATGCGAGCTACTTATAAAAGGATCAAGTCAAAATGATCTACCTACTACAAAAATGCAAATCATATATTTCAAAAAATATTCTTTATATCTACAATGTATGTTTATGTACATGCAAAACCGCATGAGCCAATATAGCACAACACAACACAATTACCTATGTACATTTTTTGTCATTACCCGAGTTTACTCTGATGACTTGCACTGAATTGAATCGGCCAGGGATGCATAGTCCGGAAAATTGGTGGTAACTCGCTGACAAGTTTGTCGTGGTTTAGCTTTCCTGCACTGAGCGCGGTTGTTTGCGCATGTGCAGTCACCTAAGTGTCAGTAAAACATTACTGAGTAAAACACAGATGTCATTTGACTGTGGTGCCATGTCCATGTGCCATGCATGCCTGTTTTTTTTAAATCCAAATATTTCCCCTCCTCCGTTTATAAAATAATTTGCATCCACACATCTGCGTTATCAATCACATTCGTAACATTCCAAACATGTGCGTCTCTTACGTCCTGTCCTGCGTTGGGGAAAAACACAGAAGTGGGCGGAGCTTTGATGCAGACGCCGGTAACGGCACTTTTACAGTCATAGAAGACACTCAGAGTAAAGAGTAAGACGTATGTTTACAAGCACTGACCCCGTCCTCAGCCCTGGTTTAGCCCTGGTTTAGCCCTGGTTTAGTCCTGGTTTAGTCCTGGTTTGGTTGTTTTCGAGCGTGAGTCCCCGCGATCACTTTGCTGCTCTCTGATGTGGAGCGAGGATGTTCGCTGCTGCGAGCATCTCACAGCGAACAGTTTTTAAGGTAGTATGATCCATGCTTCAGTGATCAGAGGAATTTAGGGGGGTACTGTGGCGTGCAAGAACGCAAAACTCTGGTTATCTCTGTCTACACACAAATGCATTAACGGAGTTTTCAAAAATCTCCACTTTGCCCGGAATTTTTTGTATATATTCGTTTAGAATGTGTAATTTTTTATTTATTTAATGCGATCTACCAATACTACCTTTGCGATCGACTGGTAGATCGCGATCGACGTATTGAGCACCCCTGCTCTAAACGATGTAATATGAACATGGTACCTTCTTGTCTGCCCCTGGGCTGCTCATGGGGCTCTGCAGGGAGGAGCAGGTGGAGGTGGAGCTGAGGGCCTCTTGGTTTGGCAGGAGGTTTGCCATGTACACACTGTAGTCCAGCAGAGGGGAGACTTTGGCACTGCCTGCTGTCGGTGTGGATGAGTCTTTTGGCCTGGACTGAGTCAACAGAGCCTCATCCAGACTGCTGCGGCTGCCACTGCGACTGTGACCTCCGCCCGCTGAAGTCAACAAAGAGATTATAATACTTGGTGAGAATCATGCAGGACTATATACTTGCTTTCTTAAAAGTCAGTACGTTTGTATTATTATTTCAAACATAACGTCAAACAAGAGAGAAACACAGAGACAGAGACACACAGAGACACACTCCTCGCTCTGTGCTGCAGACATCACACCTCCCGCTTCTTCAGTGCTTCGTTTTTGAATCAGGTAATCAATTGAAACAGGTTTTAAAATACAATAATAATTAGACTCCTCGTTCTGAGAAACACTTTGAGATAAGCTATAGATATTATGAATTTGTTGCACTATTTTTTACACACAAACATTTGAGGTGTAACTCAAACAATAAATGTGAAATACTAACCATTAATGTCTACATTAGCTATTTCCGGGCACGTCCGATGACAGATTTGTTAGAAGATTTTTATATATGATAGCAAGAATGTTATAATTATGTTTATCCTTTTTTTTTGTCAATTATCATGTATGGCTCCTAGGATTACATTGTGACGTCAATGATATATTTATGAATCATTTTGACTTGGCATAGCCTTACTTACTTTTAAAGACTGTCGCGCTGGCAGACTTCTTCAGGTGGACTTTGTGTTTGGAGGCCTGTAGAAAGCGCTGGAACCACTCCTCCTTCTCTCGCCCCGTTCTTCCAAACAGATGCAGCGTCACGTTTTGATACATGGACCCAATCGCTGCTCTGTCACTTGTGGGCGATCCCTCACTGGACTCCCAATTGTCGTCTTCAGTCCTGGACATGAAGTCATCCTGCCTTCCCAGTTCAATACAGATGGGGTATTTTTTGTTCCAAATTCTCTTCCTGGCCAGGCCTTCAGGCACGAGATGCACCTGTGAAGATCGAGCAGAAGCGTCAAAAGAATGGCACGTGCTGGAAATGTTTGTAAACAGTATGAAGGGCCTTACTCTGCTATAAGTGAGGTCGTAGATTTTCTGGCTGATGAAGGTGACGTCAGGTTTAGTGTCATTGTGCGCAGCTCTCCTGGGGATGTTGTGGTTGGGTTTGGAAAGGCGAATGGTGGATCCCTCCAAACGGACGTACACCGACTGAGTCAGGGTGGCGTGGTACGTCTCTGGATCATAGTTTGAGATGTCATTCATCCAGCCCTATGGAAGATGTGCACATGTTCAGGTTCTAGTTCTCTGCATTTGTGGAATACTAAAAGAAGACAATGTGTGTTCTATAGCTATAACAGCGGTTCCCAACTTTTTTTTGCCCTGTGCACCCCCTTTCCAGCATAGTCAGGGCATGAGTACCCCTGTGGTTAAAGAGTATCGTTCACTTTCACAGGGTCACACTCATTTGGGCCGGGGCCACAACAGTTTTTAGGTTTTGTGTTATAAATCAAGGTCTCAAACATTTTTTTAAGCCAGTTTAATAGCCATCTTTTGCGTTTGAATATCTCATTTTCATGTTATTGTTTCAAATTAGGTATTTTGACCAATCGAATTTAATGAATTTAACTTTACTTTTGGATTTTCTCAATAAATTTAGTAGGCTACATGAAATATTACTGGCTTATTATTGCAGACTGACAAATTTATCAAGTTTTGGGTTCAATATTTAGACTGTGATCAATTACATGGTTGTTCATATGTGAAAAATAGTTTTGAAAATCATCTCATTCTCTGGTTGGGAAACACAGATCTATAAACCAATGTTCTTTGTGAATAAACATGGTGTCGCAGAAAAGGATTCTTACTTTGTGAATTTCCGGTTCTTTAATGTCCAACTTCCGTAGCTTAACATATCTACAGCCATTGGACGACTTTGGCCCTGTGAGCCAGACCACTCCAATGGCCAAAAGAAAACCCAGTCCGATCCCAAGTAGCATTCCCCCAACATACGTGGGCAGAGGCAATATAAAGTACCCATACACGAGCAGCGTGAGAAAAACTAAAGTGTAATGCGGAATGCTCTGTGCTGGCTCAAAGTATTCATATTCATCTTCACATCCTATTTCAGTGCTGTCGCTTAAAGGCACTTTTGTGTCTTCAGTTTGGTCTGCTCCAGCTCCCTCTGTGTCTGTGCAAGTATCAAAATCCTCATTGGTCAAAATACAAAATTCCTCATCTTCCTTTGCCAAAGCAGACACAGAAAGGAGAGAAGACCTAGATGGACTTTTAGTGTCAGCAGATGTAGAAACTGGGGATTCAGCTAAAACGACAGGTTTGCTATTGGGACTGTCAGCCTCCCAGTCCCCGCCTTCCTCCTCTTTGATGCAATAGTTGTTGTTACTTTCAAATTGACTATTGAGCGAAGAAAGGTTTGAGAGTTCGGAGGCACTAGATGGGAGAACTTTTTGGCGATAAATACTGCCAGTACCTAGGCTAACACTCTTCTCATCCATCATTTTAGTCAAAAGCTGTAGGGGTTCAGCTATAACCTCTGAAAGGCGTCTTTTAGTGTCCTCAATCCTCGCTTCCACTTCCGCAACTTTGAAGAAGCTGCGATTTTCCAATGAGTTCATGGGGGACGTGGGAGCTGTTTTGGAGTCACTTCCCGAGGAGAGTGACGAGATGGGTAACCGCGACTGAGTGAACTGTTTAAACATCTGAAGATTGAGGCGAGATTCCAGAGGTCGAGAGGTGGAAGACGAAGGTTGGTCTTGGGACGTGTCAGATGAGAAGGACTTGACGAAGTTTTTCAAGTGTCTGTGTCTGATTGAAGAGGAAGAGGATCCATCTTTAGATTCAACGTCAGAAGACAAAGACTTTACGAGACTCAGGAATGGTTTGTCACTGGAGGGAAAGCTTAGGGATTTCGAGGGAGAGGAATTGCTGCTTTTTCCTGCGCACAATACTTCTTTAGGTCCAGTTGTTTCAGGAATGACAGTGCCCCCTGCTGTAAGATCCTGCAAGGCATCTTCGAACATATCCTCACTCGCTTCTAAACCCGTCATAATATTTGAGTCGTCCTGAGGGGCTGAGGTAGCAGACGTATTTGTCATGTAGATTTCCCCGTCGTCCTCCTCTTCATCCTTCCTCTGGGCAGAGAAGTGGATTGTGACGGACTCTTTGGACGGCGGGCGGAGCACCTGGAGCTTGGGGACTTCAACATGCGGCAGTTTGCTTGTGGGGGATTGAGTGCTCTCTGCATGGCTAGGGGCCCGTCCAGTCATCGCAGTCAGATGACGTCTATAACAAAAGAGAACAAAGACAATTGGTTTTATTGAATGTATCAATATACCAATAGGCTGCTGTTTCTGTTTGGACAACTGTCTCAGTGTTGCAAAATATATGGAAGATGGTATTAAACTGGAGTTCTATATGTACAAGAGTCTATCTAACATAAGTCCACGAGCCAGGACTTTAAGGAAATCAATCAAGTATTGAGATGTTGATCACTCAAGTTTGGGTTTTGTAGAAATGAGCATTTAAAACTATAATATAGACCTCATAACAAGCAGTGTGCCTTCGGTACTTGGGTTTATTTCTCTACTGGCACAATTTACAATTTCACAATGGAAAATAAACATGCACAAGCAACAGATGGTGGGAAAAACAGATCATTTTTGAACAAAACTTATTTACTACATTCTCATTCTTAGCATAAGAATATGGCCTCACATTGATTCATCCTATTGGCTGTGTTAAAAAACTAAATAGGATCATACACAGTGAAACTTGCAGCAACACCATCCAAAGCAGTGCTATAATAACAAACATTTTGTCTAACAAGTATTCTTTAAGCGATTGGATATTTTCATCTCATTTTGACCAAGAAAAAACTGAAGTGAAGGAACTTGAGGTATAGTTTTCCCACAATAGACAGCTTTTTTTCCTTTTTACCCCTTTGTTATGTAGTTCCTGTATTGTTTAAGTCTAAAAATCACATTCCACAGCACACACATGTGTTGAAGATTCAAATCAGTTACTCACTAGTTGTTGATGATTAAAAAACTAGATTTATTGCAATGAATGGAGATGTTTTAGAATCTACATGTACTCAAACACCTGCCTTGGGTAATCAGGCATCTACGTATTCACAGCACACGCAGACGCATACACAGACACACACATGCGACACACACATGCGACACACACGTACACACAGTGATTAGAAGCCGGAAGCCTGTGCCACCTGCTGACACGCCATAAATACCTCCCACAAAGCATGCTAAAATATTCACAAATCAAACGGCTCAGTCGAGAGCAATAAAAAGGTGACACCGACAGAAACATGCATTAATTACCACTGGTTACATACGGTAGATGCCACATAATCAACAGCACAATGGTAAATCCAACTTTCACACCCCATGACACGCTTTTATGGAGGGAAAATGTTACATAAGTGAGCAATAGAAACAAGCAACAAACAAACAATACAATGCTACTATGTGGGATACAGTTAAATATACAACAACAGTGGAAACTTTTAATGAATGCATTCTCAAGAGTTATTATGGCATTTCAAAGTCAATGTTGTGCTACAGTTGCAGTATTATTAAGCATGTTAATTCCTCTTTGACATTTAATCAAGTTATTTTGTAAATTATAAAAAAGTTAGGACCTCTAGCTGTTACTGAAGCAGTTAAGATGTAATTTGACTTAACAACAGCTTACGCCTTCAGGTTAGCTAAAATATGTAAAACATGTTCAGTTATGCAAAGTGCAACATTAGAGTGGGTTTAGAGCTCCCTTTGGGCAACGAGTCAACAGTCAGGAGAGTGCTAATAAGCCCCCCTGCTGTGAAATGCACTTTAGATACTTGAAAACAAGACCTAAAAACTTTTATCAACGGCAGCAAAAGTTTTAACAAATTGGACTACGTTATTTGTGCAACTTGCAAATAAAAAATAAAACAAACTATCTACAAAGCAAGTTTAAATGTTTATTGTATCCAGGTTATTTTACCTAATTACCGACTTTTATCAACGTTTTTAACTTGGACCAAAGTTTGAAATACAACAAACACGGGAAAATTGTGTGGTTCTAAAATTTAGAACATCTTTTGGACAGTACACCTTTCTGAATCTGAAACGCTCTTCCCAGTGACATAAAACTGACTCTAACATCAGGGGAAAACGCCTGAACACAAATAAGGCATTGCATTTTTTTTCTTGTACATCTGTAAATTATAAATGTCAGTTCTTATAACCTCCTATGCTTGGTCTAGAGTGGAAAAATAGTATTGTCTCGCTGTCAGCAAGTAATTAACAGAATAAATGTCAAAGTTGTTTACCCAGGATAAATGTTTTATTGGGTTTGGATTAGGGTTTAGAGCAGGGGCGTCAAACTGGTTTCAGGAAGGGCTGGTGTGGCTGCAGGATTTCATTCCAAACCAAGCAGGAGCACATCAGACTACACTCATTTCCTCAAGTCTTCAGGTTTGAAGACCGGATTGACACCCTTAGACTCAAGGTTAGAGCTTGGGTTCATTAAAGTAAGGGTTAAGACTAGGGTGAAGGTCCGGTTCATGTGTCCAGGATCAACTTGTAATAGTGATCCTGGACTGTTAATTACTTGTGGATCAGCCCACGGTTTCAAATTGTGCGTCTTGCTACCACTAGAGGCAGCATTTCTGGTATGTCCACGGTAACTCTTTTGACCATACCAAACACATAGATAAATACATGAATGAATGTGCACCCTTTGCTTAAAAACGTCACATCTATTTTGCTCGGTTGTTTCTCATGCCATGTAAAGACGCAATGTACACACAGACTTATATTTACATTATCACATGGCACCAGGGTGAGACCGCTGTGCCTACATTTGCACATAGTAGACCTCAGATCAAACTCTCTCAACGCCAAAGTGTGGTTTTGATTAGAGATAAAAGGCCTGTATGATGTAAAGGGCAGAGACTGTCTGTGCAAGAGAAAATGAACACATGATGCACAATACACCCCACTGTGTCCGATGAGACTCAAAGGAGAAATGATTGTGAAGCTGATGAAACCAATTACAGAAAGCACTGAGATGTAATCTAGTAGAAGAGGCGATGAACTTGTTTCTTCTCAATGAAAAACAAACACAGGCTGGCGAAACATACAACATCTAGTATCACTTTCTTGAGAGAAATGTGTCAGGTTTGTCATATTTCACAGTTTGATCATTCAATTTCTCACATTCTATTTTGCATTCATCTTTTACTAAGGCAAAATTTACAAATTACCCTGGTTTCTGGACTATTAGGCGCACCTGTACAGAGGGGCAAAAAAGTATTTAGTCAGCCACCGATTGTGCAAGTTCTCCCACTTAAAATAAAGACAGAGGTCTGTAATTTTCATCATAGGTACACTTCAACTGTGAGAAACAGAATGTGAAAGAAAAATCCAGAAATTCACATTGTAGGATTTTTAAAGAATGTATTTGTAAATTATGGTGGAAATTATGTATTTGGTCAATAACAAAAATTCAACTCAATACTTTGTAATATAACCTTTGTTGGCAATAACAGAGTCAAACGATTACTATAGGTCTTTACCAGGTTTGCGCACACAGTAGCTGGTATTTTGGCCCATTCCTCCATGCAGATCTTCTCGAGAGCAGTGATGTTTTGGGGCTGTCGCTGAGCAACACAGACTTTCAACTCCCTCCACAGATTTTCAATGGGGTTGAGGTCTGGAGACTGGCTAGGCCACTCCAGGACTTTCAAATGCTTCTTATGGAGCCACTCCTTTGTTGCCCGGGCGGTGTTTGGGATCATTGTCATGCTGGAAGACCCAGCCACGTTTCATCTTCAAAGACGGGCCTGGACATGCACTGGCTTCAGCAGGGGGACACGTCTGGCACTGCAGGATTTGATTTCCTGTCGTTGTAGTGTGTTACTGATGGTAACCTTTGTCTCTGCTTCGCAGCCACTGGCAGTCTAGTTAGAGGAGAGACCCGGCTGGGGCCCTGTCATGAAGCCACCTGTGCCATTCCCTTAGTGATAACACAAAGAATACATTACAGAAAGACACTCTGGAGTTAATCAGTCTAATCTGGAAAATCTAATTCTTGTTCCGTGTAAGAATCAGCCGACCACAACCGCTGATACTGAAACTTTGAAACTTGCTATGCTAAATGTCAGATCTCTTTCTAACAAGTCTTTTTTAATCAATAATTTTATTTGTTCTTATAATCTTGATCTTATGTTCATGGCTGAAACTTGGCTTGACCAAAATACAGAAAATGCAGTTTTAATAGAAGCATCACCACCAAATTTCAAATTTGAATCTGAAATACGGGAAAACAAAAAAGGAGGAGGCTTAGCTGCCATTTTTAGAGACCACTTTGTCTCCCATAGAATGTCTCTTGGGAAGTTTCCGTCTTTTGAATATGTGTCTTTTAAAATACAACAAAAACAATCTCCTCCAATACTCTTCATAGTTCTATACAAGCCACCGCAGTCATGTCACAGTTTTATTGATAATTTTACCGAGTTTCTTTCAGTTGTATGCACAGATTTTGATAGTTTAGTTATTACAGGTGATTTTAATATTCATGTGGATAATGTTGATGACAGAAATGCAAAAGAGCTGAGTTCTTTACTTGATACCTTTGGTCTCACTCAGCACGTGAGTGGCCCCACCCACAGCAGAGGGCACACTCTAGACCTAGTTACAAAGGGGGTGAATATTTCAAATATAAGCGTGGTCGATGTTGCTCTTTCGGATCATTTCTGTGTATTTTTTGACATGTGTTTCACTAACAAACCACCAGTGGACTCTGCAACTGTTCGAAGAAGACACATAAATGAAAATACGAGTGAACTATTTATGGGAATGATAAACTTTGAAAATGCATCGTATTCTACTGTAGATGAACTGTTTAACTCTGTCACCTCTAGTGTTTTGAATGTTCTGGATACCGTTGCCCCTGTGAAGGTTAAAATAGTGAAAAATAAGCAGAAGGCGCCGTGGGCTAAAGCAGACTCGGTCAGAGCACAAAAAAGAGAGTGCCGGAGGGTCGAGCGGAAGTGGCGCAAGTCCAACCTCCAGGTTGATTACAAGATATTCAAAGATAAGTTGTGCGAGTTTAACCGGGTGCTACGTAGTACGAGAAAAAGGTATTTTTCTGAAATGATTGAAGGCTGCAGCAACAATCTGCGTGTTCTGTTTTCAACAGTTAATAGATTAACAAACCCCCCTGTTCAGATGCCATTAGAGCTAACTTCCAAACGTAAATGCAATGAGTTTGCACAC